TAAATCAATAGTCGAATATCACAGCCAATCAACACTGGCGGGTAAGTAATAGTGTGAAACTATCATTCCACTATTAGCAACAGACATTTTCTGAAATGCAAAAAAATATATATGTGTAACACCTTTAAAGAAGCATCACTAATGCCCACTTGGGTGATTATTTGTTATCAGTACTTGAGGTGGTAACGTTATGCCTTTCCCAGTCCTCTGGATGGTCAACACTTGTTACAAAACACACTCACAATGACAGAGCAACGAATAGGCCTACTTTGAGCCAATTGACCGTTTTTATCGGTGAACTACTAACGTTATTGTTAGCAATGTATAATCAATACATTTAGTAACGTTAGCCTAGCCTACCAGCTAGGCTTCAAAGTAAGTTAGTAAATTCAAAAGATATTGTCTAACGTTACTTGTCAACAATGTTGAATATTAACTAAACTTAGTCAACCTCAGCGGAAATGGTAAAAACTTCAGTAATATCATAATTTCATTTGAAACAAATGGTTCCAACCTCATGACATTTACTCAGTCAAATTTGTAACGTTAACACATTGTTGCAATGTCTCCGGAAGCGCTAAGTACAATGATTGTTGCTGGCTAGCACCGCTCTGTGCTAACTAGCCAGACAACTTTCATTGTGTAGCGAGTGAATTAATTTATAAAACACTTTAAACTGAAAAAAACTAATAAAGAAATAATAATCCGGATAACTATATACTAACCAATTCTGTAAATATCAAAGTTCAGTGTCAGGTTTGCTAGTTGAAGAAACGCTACTAAAAAAACGAGTTAGTTAGCCAAACAAATGTAAATAGCTAGCTAAGTGGCCAAGCTAACGTTAGCTAGCTAGAGCCAACAATCTAGTTTTCACATACATAAACTCTGGCAAACAAGTGGCTACATTCAAACCACTGCCAAAATAGTCTGCTAACAAAAATAAAACTACAGCAACTTTTATAATACAACTTTTCATACGCTAAAACAAACTTTTTCCAAGACAGACAAAGTCCGAGCAGAATTCATAGGTTTAATTTATGATGTAGCCTAGATTTAATTCCACCTCACCTTTTTCTCCAGCAGATTTGGCCAATCCTTTTGGTTCCGGGCGAGCACTCCCTTATATCTCTATATTTCGTATTGAAGTTGCAAAATGTGGTGTATTTTCCAAAAATGCAGTTTTACGTCGGCCCTGCTCTCCTTCTCTGATTCAGGCTCTAAATATGTCATTTGATCAAGCGCACATACCCTGTCCTACGCGATGCGAGATAATTCTAGACCAAAACCTTCCAATCACTGCAGCGAGTGCGCAACCATTTGAGGGGGAGCGAGTCGCGGTGGTAGTATTTCTATGGATAATTCAAGTATGTCCCAATTACTTCTAACGCCCCCTGGCGTAAATGGACAGATCTACTGTATTCGTATTTCTTTGACATCAAATTAGACACATGCATGCAGTCGTCTACTCACAAATAGAACAGTCTGGAGAGTAAGAGACCTTTGTCGGAGGGGGGTGGCGTGGAAGAGGGAGGAGGCGTGGAAGAGGGAGGAGGCGAGGGGCTGGCGAGGTATTAGAAACCGGAGAAGTAAAGAGAGTGAAAAAGGAGAACAAGGTGGAAAGGGTGAGTGAGGAGATGAGGGATTCAAGAACATGGATAAAGGAGATTGAGAAGTAAAGGGTGGAAAGGATAACGCTGAGGAGGATAGGAGATTATGAATAAGGGAGATAAGGAGGTGGAACAATAAATCAAGGTGAAAGACATTCAACATGTGAAATAAAATGTTTATTGACAAATTTCAAAGATTCAACCTGTCCTAGAGATACCAGCAGCCTTTCATCATTGACTCTGGTAACACAGGCATACTTGTGGTTGTAAAACAAAAAATAATTGTGATTGGTAGTCTTTACTGAAAAATATACAGTACATTAAGGTCATGGTATTCAATACACAGCATGCATAAATTAAGGCAATCCCTCTAACACTGTCCAATCAGGAAGTTCTCAATAGAGAGGAAATCAAGCCCATTTCCTTCCCAAGATTGATACACACACACATATTCATCTCACACAATTATATATACTATGTGACAGACTACTGTTAAAATCTTCAAGGTATATCCTTTCTCCATGTAATTCTGTTCTGATAGCAGTTAGATGCAGTTCACTAAAAGCAACACATAAAACATTTTCCTATTTTGATGCATTGTGTTATGGCAGGCCAGGCATGGTGATACATTTGAAATATGGGGGTTTACACTCCAAATACATCAATGTTCCACATAAAAATACCTTGTTTATAAAGACAATAGGGTTCTAAGTACAAATGTAGCAAGAGATGAAACAAGGTAATGTGTTATTGATAATATACAATAGAAAAATGACAACAATCCTATTCCTCCAACAGTCCAGTCCCAAAAAATAAAGGCATACAACTACTCAAAGATCAAGGCCATATTTCAGTTAGTGTTAAATTTTTTTTTTTTTTTAAATAAGTAAATAAATGATCAGATTTAAGAGAGTGGTTGTTATCTCATGCCAAGTATGTCTATTTTAAGAAAAATACTACTCTAGAAAAATACTTTCCCCTATCAAAACACAGAACATGGAAGAAGAAGCAATCCCTTTTACACATTGGATATAAATCTTGCAGCCTTACAAGTGTTTAATATACAGCAATGCAAACAGAAATAACGTGTGAACCAAATCAGAAAGACCACTCAGCAAACTAAAACTGACATTAAAAGGGATCATCTTAATACAGTGTCATAGCAAAGCAACGTGTGTCATATAGACTGTTTAGGGAGAACTAGCCAGGAGGGAGGGAAGAATTGACTAAAGAGAATGAGGCTACTTATGCCTCTCTATACAGAGGGCAGAGATGCACCAGAGAAACCTCTTACCTAAATGGAATGAATGACTGACAGCAGAGAGAAGTTATGGTCACATTTGGGAATGGACTGTGAAATTATATCAAACTGTAATAAATGTGATACATTATTGTTTTATAGTGTTATAGCCAATGTTGACTACAGATGTGAGCATTGGAACCACATATATTGACAGTTTGGGCTGCTGTCCTTCAGATACCAGGTAACACAAAACACACTATTGTATTGCCTAAAAATGGCCTCAATGGGACGCACAGCAATTTTATCATCATGTTGACTCAATAGTTTGTTTTATTTTTTATAAAGGGGTACCATCTAAATAACCCTAAATAGTGACTAGTGTGTGAGGCATGCCAAGTAGCCAACATGGTTTCAACACTCTGTTGCACTGTGGTTGGAAACTATAGAACTAGTTTCAATATGCTGATCTTTCAGAAAAATTAGTTGCTAAAACAACTATCTAGCAACAATTCAAGTCTGCCTTCATTTCCCTCCATGGTACCTCTGTAGCTCAGCTGGTAGAGCACGGCGCTTGTAACGCCAAGGTAGTGGGTTCGATCCCGGGACCACCATACACAAAATGTATGCACGCACGACTGTAAGTCGCTTTGGATAAAAGCGTCTGCTAAATGGCATATTATTATTATTATTATTATGTAAGGTTTATTCTGAACTGGCACTGACTATGCTTTTCTTACCAGTTGACTACATACATACGCATATCAAAAGTACTCTGTGTAGTGTTCTCAGAGTTATGTCAAATCACAATAAACTAGTGGCACAAATACTTACAGTAACTAATACTGATGTTGCCTCAGTAGACATGCACTGACAATCATGTACAAACTCATGCATGCATGCACACATACACAGAAAATATACAAAGATGTATAAAATAAACTCTGAAAGTAAAACGTCTGTACACGAGCACACCGTCTCAACTGACTTTAAGGTGTGTGCTAGTGAGAGTGAAAATGAATGTGAATGGCTGTTTTTGGCCTTTACAGATATTTCCTATAAATTCTTGTTTAAATGTAGCACTTCATTCGGATGTAAGGCACATCAACATGCATAGACATTTGCTGTGTAAAATGTATGTGTAAGACCCCAGGCTAGAGCTTGCCTCCCTTACATGCTGTAAAAAGATCCAGGGTGCTTCCTTGATTTCCGGTCAGGAGCAAACCACGTTTATGAGACACTTTCCAAAAATCCTAACTTCCCTACCCCATAAATATATCTAACGTTTTCTCATCTTCTACCTGTATCCCTAAAGTCGGTATGGTATTACTGTATCTTTGTATTATTATTTGACTGGACTTCAAATGAATCCAGGATGAAAGAGTTTGAGTGATGTACACAATATAATGCAGCTGTCAACAAAAGGCAATGTATAACATTTTTGCTTTATCAGCAATATAAACATCCATGAATGTTATACTTTCATTTTATTCTATGTAAATAAATAATATAACTGTCAAAGTTGCAATAAATATAACTTACTAAACTATAATAACTATGTTAAATCAAACAGTATTAGCAGGCCTACATGTGTCATGATATACTGTATCAGTACACAGTGAGGCATCATCATGTTAAATCTAGTATATACGATACTAAAACGGTATCACTGCAAGCTATTTGTGTTTCGCTATTTGGGGTTTTACATTCCAAACAAAGCACACAGTGTTTCTGTGAAATAAGGCATCTTATTTACTGAAGAACCCTGCTAATCCACTCAGTCTGCATGTGTCTGTAGGCTGCTTATGCTGTAGCTCGAGCCTCCCTGTATTGAGGCCCTCTAGGAACTGAGTGGAGTAGCAAAGGGTTTACATCAGAATTCTCTGATATAAAATATAAATTATAATTCATTTGTGAGTGAAATTAATAAATACAAACCTAACTAATATGAAACTACTTAAAAAACAAATGATTTTTGTATTTTGTCACGACTGACTGTTCTATTTACTGAACGGTCAATCTTGTCGCTACCATCTTCAGCTTGTGTTTCTCATAATTTACATTGGCATCAATGCCCCCTCTACAGGGTTCATTGCCAGGGCATAGCTACGTTAGCACATGCCCACCACCCCATAAGGCTGCAGATGGAGCATTTACACGTTGATAGCATGAGCGTGCTTCTTGCACAGGGGCTTGTCCTTCTTGGAGTAGAAGGGCTGGCCCTCCAGGTTCACATGGCACACCTGTGGGAGACAAACATAATTGTGAATCTCACAAACCAGCCATTTTTGGTACATTCCCAGAGATCTGAGGTATAACAGACTTATACATCAGGAACATGGGTTATTGTACAGCTGTGTAGTCATTCTTACTGCACAGACAAAGCAGGTATCGTGCCAGGTATGACCCAGTGCTTCAATGAACTTGTCTCCAGCTTCTACTGGGAAGTCACAGCCGTGGCATTTGGTGCTGAAGAGTGAAATGTAATCTGGAAGAGGGAGGAAAGACTGAACAATAGCAAATGGTGCAAATGGTAGCAAAGTTACATGCATAAAAAAAGGAGTCTTATGTATATAATTCAAATGTAGTTCAGTTGCAGAAGCTGTTTTCACAGAATACATTATGGCAAAAATATCAGCAGAAGCTGGTTTGGGCTTTAAGGGAAACATTTAACACTTGTGGCTTTTCATTATGTGCCATTCCATTGATGTAAAGTACCTTTCTCGCAGTAGGGCTCCCCATCCTCCATGTGGAAGAGGCTGTTTCCAAAGGCCTTGCCACAGGCAGCACACACAAAGCAGGTGGTGTGCCATGTCTGCCGCAGAGCATGCATCACCTCCTGCACAGGGACAAAAGGTTATTGTCTGTGTGCATTTGTGGGTATATTCTGCATTGGCTAAACAAAGCGCTTTTGTGTGTGTCGTACATGTCTGTATGTTTGTGTCTGTCATCTCACCCCCATGATCTTGGTGTTGCAGCGTGCACAGGTGGGGGCAAAGAACTCGCCGTAGCAGTTCTCACAGTACACTGCGTTCTGCTCCTCCACAAAGCTGCAGTCTGCCAGCGATGTGTGGCAGTAGTGACAGTTGAACTCCTCTGGGTGCCAGGAGCGACCCAAGGCCACCAGAAAGGGTCCCCTGTAACGACAGACAGCGCATGAGGACAAAGGTGGTGACAATGACCATTTCTGAAGCCAAACACTGTGTTTCTGTTTGAGTGGGTGTGTTTCCACTGACGGTGTATCGTTGTTGTTACCGGATCATGTTGTTGCAGGCTCCACAGAGGGGTGCTCTGCTGCTGTTGGCAGCGAAGCGCTCCGCCCTTTGGGCCACGCCCCGGGCAATGGGAGGGAAGGGGGCAGGGGCGGTGTTGTAGGGGGCGGGGCTGGGATTATAGGCAGGGCTTGGGGCAGAGGGACGGGCGTGGGCGGAGCCAGGGTTTGGGATGTAGGCCGGTGCTGGTGGGGCACTCTGAGGTAGAGCAGGCACTTTCATGCTGGTGCTGGTGGTCTTGCTGGGGTCAAACTTGTTGGCAAAAGAGTCGTCCGTGATCCAGGGTGGCCTGCTGGAGGGGGGTTCAGGTGCGGCCGGGGCTGCGGCTAGAACAGGGGCAGGCGCAGGGGCTGGAGCTATGACCCAAAGAGACACCTGGTTAAGTTAACACTATCTATACTTACCATATTGTTAACACAAATGGTCACACAGCGCCACCTGCTGTAACTACCTGGCACAATGCAGGCGGTGCTGACCACCTTGGGTGGGGGAGGGCCCACAGGGATCTGGATGGAGCTTTGCTGCATGAGAGGAGGCTGCTGCATAGGAGGAGGCTGTTGCATGGGGGGCCCCTGGTACATGGGAGGTCCCTGCTGCATGGGGGGCCCCTGGTACATGGGAGGTCCCTGCTGCATGGGGGGCCCCTGGTACATGGGAGGTCCCTGCTGCATAGGAGGCCCCTGGTACATGGGAGGTCCCTGCTGCATTGGAGGCCCTTGGTACATGGGAGGTCCCTGCTGCATAGGAGGCCCCTGGTACATGGATTGCCCCTGGTACATGGGAGGGGCTTTTTGCATGGGGGGAGCCTGGCCATATAGGCTACAGAAGGATAAACAAGAAGCTGAGTGACATCATCACCACCTAGATGCAAACATATCTCTACTAGCCTTATTACTTCAGAAGCTTTCTGAACTGTCATAGTTTATATAATATATCAAATCTAAACTGGGAAACTATACTACAAGTACCAGTTACTCATAAGGATACTGTTAAAGGGATACTTCAGGATTTTGGCAATGAGGCCCTTTATCTACTTCCCCAGAGTCAGAGGAACTCATGGCTACCATCTGCGTGCAGTTTAAAGGAAGTTGCTAACTAGCGCTAGCACAATTGCTAACTAGCATTAGCTCGAAGTCATTGCGCTAACGCTAGTTAGCATTGGCTCGCAAAACTACCTCTAACGTCCTTCATACTGGATGCAGAGACATAAAAATGGTATCCACGAGTTCATCCGACTCTGCCAAAATCCTGACGTAGCCCTTTAACACTAATATGCCTCACAATCAAACCTAGTCTGCTGAACAGCCACCTATCTCCTTCCTGACTCCAGGAGTGTCCACATATGTTTTGAGTCTTACCTGGATCTCCTCCACTTCACCAGACACGTTTAACGTAAAGGTTAGTGGGAGTTTAATATAGCAGAGACCCACAGAGAGCGAGCAAAAGAAAGACAGCCTGGTATCAGAGAGACAGTGTTAGAACAGAGAGCCTCGGTTATGGCAATGAGACAGCCTACAGGGAGGAGGTGAGGGCTCTCAGAATGTGGTGTCAGGAAAATAACCTCTCACTCAACATCAACAAAACAAAGGAGATGATCGTGGACTTCAGGAAACAGCAGAGGGAGTACCCCCCTATCCACATCGACAGGACAGCAGTGGAGAAGGTGGAACGTTTTAAGTTCCTCAGCGTACATATCACTGACAAACTGAAATGGTCCACCCACACAGACAGTGTGGTGAAGAAGGCTGAAGAAATTTGGCTGAAGAAATTTGGCCTGTCAAAGCTGGGACCGAGAGACTGAAAAACAGCTTCTATCTCAAGGTCATCACTGTTAAACAGCCATCACTAGCACAGAGGCTGCTGCCTACATACAGACTTGAAAATCACTGGCCACTTTAATAAATGGAACACTAGTCACTTTAATAATGCCACTTTAATAATGTTTACATATCTTGCGTTACCCATCTCATATGTATATACTGTATTCAATACTATCTATTGCATCTTAGCCTATGCCACTCTGATAATGACATTGCTCATCCATATATTGATATATTCTTATTCCATTCCTTAGATTTGTGTGTATTAGATATTTGTTGTGGAACTGTAAGATATTACTTGCTAAATATTGCTGCACTGTCGGAACTAGAAGCACAAGCATTTCGCTACACTCGCAATAACATCTACTAACCATGTGTATTTGACCAGTAAATTAGATTTGAAGGCAGTGAGAGAGATTCAGAGTCGCCAACTGATTTCATTTGAGAGGAGAGAGAAGCAGGTTGATACATTTGTAAGAAAAGGGGAGGTTAAAACGCAGGTTAAATCAACACTGTCAAATCACGATTATCATCCTTAGAGCTAAAAACAGAGGGAGGGGAATAAGTGTGTGTTATTTTGAAGGTGAAGTTATATTGACAATAAGGTAAGGAAGCACACTATCCAGATGTTCTATGAGCAGTGCCATCTGGATAAGCTTCCCCACAGAAGTACCTAGAGACTGAGGCAGACTGCTGCAGACTGTAGCTATAACGCAACAGAAAAGGGTCAGGGGTCAAAAACAGGGGTCAAACACAGTTCTTTGGATTAAGGTCATGGACACCTATACCTGTAAGATGCCGTGCTGCCGAAGAAGTTTATTACTGATAATGGCATCCAGTTTTTTAATATTACATTTGCAGATTTTTCCATCTAACTTTTCTCCACTGTTTACTCTAAGATGGGGTGTAAATCAAGAATCATCTGATTTCTCACATATTGTAACATTATCAGACCACACCAGTTTCATACTAACTGCTAGTCAGTCAGCCTATTTTGACCACAGTCAGCGCTGTCTCTTTTGAAGAGAGGGCAGCACCCAATCAGCAGTCCATTTGAGGTATAGGTGAACTTGGTTTCATACAGTGCCTTGTATTGTCACGACTGTATTCATCCCTTGGCGTTTTTCCTATTTGGTTGCATTTCAACCTGTAATTTAAATTGATATTTATTTTGGATTTCATGTAATGGACACACACAAAATAGTCCAAATTGGTGAAGTGGAATGAAAAAAATAACTTGTTTCAGAAAATTCTAAAAAATAAATAACGGAAAAGTGGTGCGTGCATATGTATTCACCCCCTTTGCTATGAAGCCCCTAAATAAGATCTTTCAACAACAACAAAAATATTTTGCATCTTCCAAGTGGTAGGCATGTTGTGTAAATCAAATGATACAAACCCCAAAAAATTCCATTTGAATTCCAGGTTGTAAAGTAACAAAATAGGAAAAATGCCAAGAGGGGTGAATACTTTCACAAGCCACTGTAGGCTGCATTGACATCTGAACATCAGTTAACACATCCAATCCACATTAAATAAAAAAACAACGACATCATTATTAGGAAACTTTAAGACGAGCCAGAGGACCACTTCTCAAAAACACACTAACATGCAGGCCAGATAAATTCACTCCAAACCACCCTCCACTGCACACCATAAGTTGATTTAGCGTTCACAGTTTTAAGCAACTTTGGTCACCACACTGGCTCCAGGAGATCCCTATAAAGTACCACTATTATATTAAAACTAAAGGGTGGATGTGTTTCCTCATTTAAGCCCGCTGTTTATACAAAACAAAAATAACCCTCTACAATGGTTGGCTGAACCACGCAAACTGAGGGAGTAATAAGAGCCATAACCACTTGTCATGCTCTTACACTTACAAATCGGAAGTGTGGCGTTGCGAGCACCATGCTCTACCAACTGAGCTACAGGAGGCCAGTTCAACTAACTGTCAACAAACTATTTAACAAATTATCCACTAACAATATTCTATTCTATTTATCCAATGTCCAATGTCCAATGTCAATACGTATGGCCGTTCGTGGTCCCCTAGATGGGACACAAAACGTTTTTTTAAATGTGATTTTTTATCCTACTGACAAACTACCATTCATCTGCTGTGATGGCCCAAACATAGTTATCTGTGAGGGTCCAAAAAAGTAGTATAAACACGCCTCTGAATGGTCCAAAAACCTAATCCAGAAGTCCAAGAAAGTAATCTGGGATACCCCCATTGAAGGTTCAAGGGAGTGATCTGGGGTATTTCACCAAGATGCAATATCTGACCCATGTAATTATGTCCAAAAGAAGTTATACGCTAACGCTAGCAAGCTGTTGCATATAGACAGATTAGCAGTTGATAGTTTGAGCATCTATAGATAATCTATTGGGGACTATGCAAATAAAGTGTGACCAAAAATAAATCTTCACTTTCATTCTTTTAACACTTTTTTACACCCTGTATACTCTTACATCCACTATTTCAGCCTAAGAAAATAAAGCTCAAATCAATCCATCTTCCGCACAAACCTCTTTTCTGCCACCCGTAAAATAGCAACTATGTACTAGCTTCTGCCCCTCCTATCTCAACCAAATCCACACAGCCCGCCAGACACATTGGTCTATTCGATACTGGGAGGGTGCCATCTATCCCGACTGACATAAAAGGTAGAAACTGGGACAGGGGGAGTGATTGAGTAACAACTGTACCTAGACTGTGTAGTCAGAGCAGACAAGATATGGGAGGCTGCGTGCGTCAGGTGGCAGGGTCCCCCAGAGGGGACTGCAGGGGAAGGCGCAGGAGAGGGGGGTCGTGCTTTGGGGGAACTAGGAAAGGGAATTATGGGAATTCTTTGTGTGACATAATGACTGTTCACTTTGCGAATTCTCTCTAGATTTGACAGAACTGTCTACTTCCTATGGGGGGTGTATGGCAGTCATGACCAACCACAGAAGCAACAGCTTGCACAGGCCCAGGGCATATCTGTTGTGTTAAGGCTGGTCAAATAAAAAACAGGATTAAGATGGATGGATCGTTATGATGATGAGGGCGTTACGGGTTAAAGGATGGTGGGTTTGGCAGACTCGCTCTGTATGACTACAGTACTCCACTGCCTCGAGGCTCTCTGTTCTCACACCGCTCACAGACATGGCAGGTCTTCCCAGTGTCTCTCTCTTCACAGTACAGATGATCACAACATCAGACTGTTTGACTTACCTTGGACACTGAATATGGACACTCTCCCCTGTGAATGTACTAAACCCAAAGCCCTAGCCACTTACACACATACTGCTCATGAAACCTTTCACCGAAACATTTACATAGTACAATCAAGGTTTTACCAGTTTAACTGGAACATGAAAACAAAAACACATTTCAATCAATGTTCAATCAATCACGAAACAGTTGACAAAGGGAAAAACATCAGAACAAAACAGTCCCTCTCAATGAAGGTACACACACAAATATAGCTACACACCAAATAAAAGGACGAGCACCCAGTTGGCGGAGGACAATAAAACCACAACAGGCAAAAACGTTCAACCCACACAGCATTACCTCTCAGGGGCTACGGGGGCGGGCTCTGGAGACTGGTAAGCAGCAGGCGAAGTCGCCTGATTGGGTGAAGCAGCACTAGCAGGGAGAGCAACATGTGTGGGGCTGGTGGCGATTGGAGCATGCACAACAGGGCTACTGCATAAGAGGTTAGATTGCATTGAGAGAAAACCATCAGCAGTCTGAGGCCGAAAACCATATATACAAACAGCCCATGTAGGTCTGTGTGTATATGAATTAGAGTTAATGTCAGCACAAATAGACCTGTAAGGTTATATGGCCTCAATCACATGCAAAACCAAAAGCCTTGATGTTGCTCAGCCCAATGCACGGAAGTCCATCAAGGAACAATAGAGAAAGAATAGAAAAATAAATGAGTCTTATCTTTCAATATCAGGATTTAGATCCAGAGGTGAGGAAAAAACCCTCTGCAGAAAAACACCCCTCACTATCTGTTCATAATAAGATAAAAACGGACATTTGAACTATTGATTTTGGGTGACTCACTGGAGAAAGCACAGAGACTGGCATGGGTGAGTGGGGTGATATCTGGTTGTATTTCACTCTTAATGGAAAGCTGCCTAGCTGCTACTGCAGGAATCGATTGAGCATAACGGGGAATGATTAAATAACTGCGTCAAGACAAGAGAGCTTCATCAATCTTGTCCAGGACCAGAGGGTACCACCTCACTGGGATGAAGCAGGCTATATGCTTGATATACACAGTCCTTACGTAATTAGCACAGTACATTACACATTGATTTGTAACTGTATAGTGTATCATACTAATATAATATAATCAGAGACAATCTAAGGTGTTGGGAGAGTTTCAGCCATAAACTCTGCTGGGGAAAAGGATTAAACAGAGTATACACCAACAACAGCAAAAAGGAAAGATAAATGAACACTTAGTGAGCATGGCATAATCAATGAGTGCACGCTACAGAACATTTGTGAATTTACTTTTAAACATGAGTGAAAACGAACAGTGGAGGCTCCCCAGATCTTGACATTTAAACACAGCTGACTTGGACATGAGGCCAAGACATCGAGTGAATGACTGCGGGAGAAGGTGGGGTGGAGGACTCGGGACAACGGAATGAATGCAATGCCCAGGGGGAGCTGCCCAGGCTGGGGAACAGAGAGGGTGGCAGGCATCTAGCAGCAACAGGCCTGGTGGTGGTAGACCGATGGCTGACCCCTACTCACTTCCAGCACCCTGACCTCCTCTCCTGGACATAAATCTGACCAGGAAACAGTGGTCTCAGGCAGTCATTTAAACCCTTCATCACTTTCTGTGGTGAACTTGTGAGGTTAGCAAGTGCTGCTAGGTTGTGGTGGTAGTGGGGTCTATGGTGTGTCTCACGGCTCGATGTGAGGAGTGGAGTGTTGGTGTGTCGGCAGGGGAGGTGAAAGGATCAGCACAGATAGACAGGTGATAGATGCTCTCAGTTTGAGTGACAGTTAACAGAGGAAGTGCCTTTGAGGCTGGGTACAAGGACAGGGCAGGCCACAGACACACAGATACTAAAGCCAATACCTTAAATGACTTCTGAATCCAACCAATGAAACCTATTACTAGGATAAAGTATTTATAAACAAAGTTATATAGCATCAACTGCTTCCATCTATAGATTATATAGCAGGGCTCTCTGTAGGTTTTCGCTCCAACCATAATCTAGCACACCTGATTTTAATAATTAGCTGGTTGATAAGCTGAATCAGGTTAGTTACAACTGGGGTTGGATTGAAAACCTACAGGAGGGGAGCTCTCTAGGAACAGGGTTGGAGAGCCCTGATCTAGAGAGACCTCTACAAAGTAACTTTTAGCTGATGGGAGTGTAGGAAACACCTCTCAATTGTGTTTCAACTGTTATCGCCATCCTTGGGTATAAGTTACATGAACTAATCTGGCATAGGTACAGACATCTAACTTCAATACTACTGGATCTCTATTTGAACTCAGACAGCCATGTACACAGACACACTCATAGACACAGACAGCCATGTACACAGACACACTCATAGACACAGACAGCCATGTACACAGACACACTCATAGACACAGACAGACTTGACTCACAACAAGGGGTTTACATAAACGGGCATCCTGTGCAGGTAATTAGGTACACACAGAGGACCCTGGCCTTCAAAACACATTAACCCTCTTCATGCAGGATTAATAGATTGCATTGGCTGAATTGCTGTGATCTATTTCCAGATGTACCGAGGGAATGACTGTTTCAAGTTAGGGGTAGATGAAGGATAGTGTGCTTTGAAGGCTGAAGTCAAAATCTGGTACCTCAGATTAAAAACATAAGGGGAAAGGGGGAAAGAAGATAGAAGTAGAAAGAAGTCACACCTGACAGAGATGTTAAAGATAGAAGATCGCATACATGCACCACTCTTTCATCTGCCAATGATCTATAAACAGTTTGGAATTTTAAATACTTGATCTGTAAACTAAATGATGGCATTTAATTTCTCACTTTCTCTCACTGTGGAAGGGAAAAACTTGAGGATACTAACTTGAGGATAGTTTTAAAGAGTAACAAATCTATAGCGCCCCCCACTGGTAACATTTGCTTGGCACAACTGACAACATAGGGAAATTGTGATCTCTCCCACTAAAGCAGCTGGGTTAGTAAGGCAGCTCCATGGGCAGGCAACCTGACACCTCGCCTACCATTTCACTCTGCTCCTCATTCTCTGGGACTGAAAGACCACTCCGCAGTAGGTAGGCAAACACTGGTGTGTGTTTGCATAATACTGGTGAGGTGGGCAGGCAAGGGCAAGGGAGTCTTTAGCAAGACCAGTGCATGCTCTTACGAGCAATGGGTCTAGTACTAGGTGGTTTAGAGACAACAAACAGGTAGGTATTTTACCATGTTCAGCTGCCTACTGTACTTCAAAGCAGCAGTGAGCTCTAACCATGGAGTTTAGGATTTGTGAGAGGGGCTTGAGGTTGAGGGAGGGGGATGGGTTACTGGAGAGCTGTCGTAGATGAGGAAGACACTGACAGGTGATACAGGCAAGACTAAGACAAGGAAACACAATGATTCAGACACACAACATGAAGACAGACACAAACACAGCTGTCCCCAGGCACCCCTCACCTTCTGTGCCCTTTACCTGATTCTCAAATGGGACATACAGTAGGTCTACATTAACTCTACCTTCTTGATTGTCAAAACGGTCATTAGTCCCATGAATTAAACCTACAACATAACTTCTTATCGCCTACTGTCACAAACATCTCTATAATATTGAGACAACCACTAGGGTCCTTGAGGCTTTTGAAAACAATATAATTTTCAAAAATAATCAATAAGAAAATGGGAAGTCACATGAACCCTAGGTCCCTAAAATGAGCCCTAGGACACTCAAATGAGCCCTAGAAGTCACAAACTGCAAAAACACAAATCCTGCCGACCACATGAAAACTGAGCACACACACCAAATTACTTTCCACTAATTTGGAAGTGAGGGACGAGATAGCTATAAGTGATGTGCCGAAATTTGATGTGAAGCAATGACGCCCGTCCTGATGTTTTGGAATGTCTGGTGTGTCAGTTCTAGAATCTGTGATGAAAAAAGAGAGGGAGTGAGGGATAGGAGTAGCACACTCAATGGAACTGAAGTGGAGAATGAGATCTTGTATGTGGGGCGGAGACTGAGGCCTGAGTATGATAGAGGAGGAAGAGGAGGAGCGATGAAGGGCGAGAGGGGGTCAGCCACCCAGAGGCACTCCAGTGCAAACACACTGTCCACCCAGCATGCATTGCATGCAGGTGGCAATATCTCTCAGGGGAGGTGAGGAAGAAGGGGTAGGGGGGATGATGCCAAGGAGCATGTCCAGGCAGGGAAGAGGCAGTTAGCAGAGATTTCCAACAGTTACAAACGGGCATTAATAATCCACTCATCAGCCCACAGCAGAGCTAAGTAACACCAGTTCCCCTATGTGACAACCAGACAAGCAGAGTTACCTTTCAAAGAGCTTTCAACGCCTTCAAACATGGCCTCGCCGACTCTCACTACTCACATATTTGACTTCCTGTTCACCTCTCTTATGAGGGAGGATGGGACGACACCCAACAGAGTGTTGTCTGATGGCTGTGCTTGAATCCTGATATGATAGTGCCTTCCTTCAGCCACATCTGACCTCCTTATAGTATCAGCTAGAGACTCTTGGACAGACCCTTGATATAACACTGCTTCTATGTAATAACAGACAATCAACAATTGATAACAATTGATGGCATGATTATATTAGAGCTAATGATGGCTGAGTTTAGTACAATCATAATACAGAAATAGCCCTGTGTAACAGACTAAATGGCATGTGTGGAGAATAACAAAGCCCTGTTTTCTAAAGATGTACCAATGAAGCATGTCAGTTCATCCTTCTGCGAGTCATATGATAATTAGCTTGGTTTATTTTTACAGTGTTTCTAAAGAACTTTTCGGGATACAATCTCTAAGTGATTGTTCAATGTTATTTGTAATACATATCTTATAACACTCTTGACATGAGGCAATATACAGTAGGTTGGTATTATGTATGGAAAAGTTATTCCAAAGCCACTTTCGTTATATCAAATCTCTCCGTTTTTTTCTAGGTCAAATTGTTTATATAACATCTCGAATGCCAAAGTACTTGAAACACAAATGAGAGGACAGAGGAGCACAAGGCCTTGGCCTTTATAAGGAGCTTCTGTGAAAAGCAATCCTTGACCAGCTTCAATTTACAAAAGTACTGCTTGAATAGTGAAGTGCCCTGCCCTTGGTAACTGAAAAGAAAACAGCTATGCAAACCTTTTCAATAACCAATTATGAAATTGAAAGATACTGTCAAAGAAAATGGATGAACTTCTCTCATTGAAGTCGAAAGCAAACTCATGGTCAATATGAAATCCAATCATTTTCCTTCTGATTGAAGTCATACTTAATCATGTGGCCATCTGGCCATGAGCCAGACTGGAGCCTATCCTTTAATCTTTTTAAATATCAGTGCAATGCACAATGCAGGCAGCGCTCCTAATTATCCCTGCCATAGTTCACTTTATTAATGCCATTCACCCTTTCTGAGAAATTCTCGAATTCCTCACTTTCTCATAGGCTGTAAGGGTTTGCTGCTCTCCACACATTCCAATGAGTCAGAGCCCAGGGATAAGGAAACAAACAAGCTATGTTTCATCTGTGAGTGATTCATATTGAGATTCATTATGACGTTTGTTGATGTCGGGGAATTGTTTATCCTTAATTGGACCCTTGAGATCTCGGTTAAGTACTATTTAATGGTTCCTTGGTAGCGGCTGTGAACGTTTAAACAAACAACTGAAGTTTGTGATGACTCATATGAATAATTGTTTATTGTCTCTAAGAGGGTGTTAGGTTGCTATGCCTAACTTCCATTTAAAGCCTGTAAACTGCTACATCAAAACAATCTCTTATCTTTTCAGAGTAACAATCTGATATGAAAGCAACTAAAGGAAAATGTTTTATTCAGTGGTATCGTTTTTATTCATACTTATCACAATGTCAAACTCAAATAGTGATAATTTACGGTTGAAATACAATACAACTTTCTTACACAGCTGCAATTACTTTTGAAAACTAGGATCAACTTAAATAGCCAAAATAAAGGAAGAAGATGACATTGGGCTAAAATTTTCATTACAATATGTGATCAACAAGTATTGAACAACCCTCTTTCCACTAACTCACATTCCAGTATTTTTAGCCTGACCTTCTCCTCACTCACAGTCCAACTGTTTTACCTGCTCTGCACTTCTCTGGTTGCTACAGTTCCGTTTGGTCTGACACGTATTTTAAACCAGGGCTTATTCTGGCACGTTAAGGATTTGAGCAGACAGGCCATTGTGCCAATTTTTCAATTTGGCAAAACGTGGGCCTTTAAATTCAGTGTCAAACTTTTCCCTGTGGCATGAGGAAAGAGAGAAAGGAAAATGGGGGGGGGAAGAGAGAGAAAGGAAGAAAAGGGGGGGTGAGAGATGGGTTAGGGACTGTGGCCTCCACTCCCCTGCCTGAGTCCTGTGTGAGTCAGAGTGCACTTGGGGCTCCCAAATCCTCCACAAACACAAATCAACACAACCCCTATGATGTCCTGCACCATACTGTATCAGGGCCCTAATGAATAAGCCCAGGCTTGAGAAATCCCTCATGAGGAAACAAAATGGGATATTTCTGCTCTGTGTGTGTGGCAGGAACACGTTCTGTGTTGTTTCAGCTGGAGGAGTCTAACAGACTGCTGGGAACTGGGAAAAACACCTGTGAGCTCATCATGGGGGCTATCCGTAATCCATGTGAGGGGCACTGCAGCATCGATACACCTCATACTATTCTCACTATTGGCTCGGCAAGACATGACTCACACTCTAACCTTCAAGTTCACCACAGAGAGTGGTGTGGAGCAGGGCCCTGAGGTAGGGCTGAGTGACTCAGTGACCCTTGACCCCTAGCTAACAGCAGGAACTCTGCTCTGGGCTCATCTGGTTTGGTCTGGGGCAATGACCAAATACAGCCTGGTTGCTAGGCCACCGGTCGCTGCTGCTAGCTGCCTACCTTGATTTCCTCAGATGTTCCACGTCTGGGTCTTGCACTAAAGGAGAGAGTGAGAGAGACAGAGACAGAGACAGAGACAAAGACAGAGAGAGAAGACAGGAGAACCATCAGTAACTGAGTGTTTGGCAGGGTAAGAGGGGTAGACTAAACTAAACTAAATGAAACTAGAATAGAATAGAAATAGAAAAGCACTACTTACTGAACTCCGTTCCCGTGATGTGGGCGAGGAGTCGGAAGGACTTGGACTGCACCTGGGAGGAGCTGCGGGCCCAGTCATTCAACTCCATGTCCCTGTCTGCAGTCTTGATCACAGCCTGATACACTGGGGAGGCACTGTCTACCTGAGCGTCTTTTACTGGGAGTGAACTGGAACCACAGAGAGAGAGCTGGCTCGTCACACTGGCACTAATTTATGCCCACCATAGCCTGACAGCCATCAGGACGAATAGGAAATGGTGGGTGTTATTCGGATTCTGATCACAGTGTTAAAAAACTGCAGTCTGGTGGTGATTTTTTATTATTGGGGTATGTCTGAGTGTATACATATACAGTACTATAACTAACCTTTGTAGCCTACTTAGATGACTAAGGAGCATTTAGGAGAATTGGGAGAGGATCTACTTCAAAGGCTCCCTCTTTACTTTCAATTTGAGATGTAAAAAACAGGCTTGATCTTGCATAAGAGAGGAGCTAAAAACGGGACATTAAAAAGCAGCATCCGCCAGCTTCTGCTCACACAAACCAGTGATAAAATGCTAAAAAGCTGTCAAATAGTTTCCTATTTGCAGAAGCTTGCATGTAAAGCATTATGGCTACATAGCTACTAGCTAGCTTGGCCCCTGCGGCATATTTTCTCAACAGCATATTTCAGAAATATAAATTGCATACAATAAAAATACACATACTGTACCTCTAGCAGGAGGAGGAAAGAGCTCAGAACATTCAGTTTAGTGTCATTATTAAACCAGTATAGTTCCTGGTATATGGCATAACTAGTGCTGGTCAGTTGCACATTCCCTGAGCACTAATTGGGAGGTTCAGAGTATTCTGGCCACCTAACTGAGGCCAGCACTTAATGTGTTCCTCCTCCATTCATTTCCTTTTTATATCCATATAAATCATGCAGGTTTTTTGTAATACAAGAGATAACTGACTGGTGATAACATTGCAGCTGACAATAAAACCTATTTTACAGAGAGCCTTGATACATAAAGAATCCCTGTGTAGCCAGCAGGGGAGTGTACGCCGTCTAAGAAACTGTTTGCTACATGATGGTGAATGGAGGAATGAGTGTAGCAGAGGACTGACGGAGATGGTGAAACTGCCAAGGAACAAAATGATGATTCTGTGGTTGACCTGTTGAGCAATATCGGTTTGCACCACACTGTGCTTTTCTAAAAACTCAAATAATGTTTGGCATGAAAACGTCTAATCCATGGCTGTTTTCCATGCATTCCAATCCAATACAATTTCAGCACAATTTTCCAACTGAATGAAAAATTGTTTGTTAGTAATCAGTCAACCCTAAATATCAAAACAACACCATACTTATAGTGATGTCCTCTACAAACAACTGCTCTGCAATCGGCAATCGGCTACCGTCAAACTATGATGTCATCATTGCATTAAGGGTGCAGAGGCAACATCCGGCAGTTCTAGACGTCATTCCATCAACCCACAAACTACACCAAATGGTGGCATGTTTAGAAAATTGCCATGGGTAACAAAATCTCCATTCAGAGTGAGGATGTAGTGGGTTAGCAGTGAGGGGAACGAACATAAGGAGGGAGGAAGGAGGGATATGGAGAGACCGCACACAGGCTGTGCTTCATAGGTTGCCACAGAGTGGTCTACTTACGCCAAGGGGGAGCCGGCTGGGACTTCCTCTCTGTTCGGCAGGGATGGGGTGGGGCAGGGCGGGGCAAGGTGGGGCCGTGGATGGATGGATGGATGGAGAGGGGTGGGGGAGAAGCAGCATGGCATGGTGGGTGGGATGGACAGTGCAGTGATTGGGTTTGTTGAGGAAGAACCGAGGAAGTGAGAGAGGGAGGATTAGATATGGGTCCCATAGGGGATGTCATAGAGGGAGACCCTTAGCATTCCTTCAACTCACACAGGGAAATTTCACTTTTCTCCACATATGAACAAAACAATTTGTCTGGTTATCAATTTCTAAAGAAAGTTCTCTGTTTACATGAAGCATGTGTACAAATCATTGTTACATTGTTACAAATCAAGAGTTTACAGTCCCTTTTATTAAATTATACATTTTGCCATGGTAACTCCTAGCTGAATATGGATGTGTGTACTGTGATCTTCAGGTATTTAGAAGGCAATTATGTGTGTGGGTTGAGTGTATGTAAAAGGGTGGCAGGTAGCCTAGCGGTTAAGAGGGTTGGGCCAGTAACCAAAAGGTCGCTGGTTTGAATCCCAGAGCAGACTTGATGAAAAATCTGCCGATGTGCCCTTGAGCAAGGCACGTAATCCTAGTTGCTCTGTATAAGAGCGTCTGCTAAATGACTAAAATGCCAAAAGATCAGGGAAGGCTTGGTGACTAAAGGTGATTGGGTGGCTTTATGCTTGAAGGTGAGCAGCATGAAGACATTCATAGAATGGATGGAATCTAACAAATACACTCGAATATTGCCACAGGTGACCTGCATTTGTAACAAGGAATATAGACCGGTTAGCTGACAACGTCACGAAAACAATGTGCGCACTTTCATGGGGCAGAAGTCAGCATATTGTTGTGATTCTGGGTGGCCAGATAGATACCAACAATGACAAGAAACTGCCATGTGGGGAATCGTAAGTGGCTCATTTCATCTTGTTCTTGATACCATGTCTTGTTGTGAGGCATTTTGACGGATTTCATGTAAATGCTAATATGGTTAAAATTCGCTAGCTAGCTAGCCAACAACTGTAATGATGTATTTGAGAGACAAGTGCTCATTGTGCAAATGTATATATTTTTTCAATAAACATTAATATAGCTTACATGTTGTCAACAATCTAAGCTAACCCAGTCTGTTTTGCCCCATAGTTGCGCACAATTTAGTTGCTAAACAATCAGCATCTATGCCTTTGTAAACACACAAAAATAATCTACATCTGTGCCTTAGAGCACCAAACCAAATCTCACTGCTACCTCCTTGAAGCAATCGGAGTTGTATGCATGTTTCTTCTTGACACATACAGAATACACTTAGTATATACAGTACTGTACACATATTTTAAAGGATGGTAACAATCCTAGATCATCAGAGCCTGATAAGACATCCTGATGAAGTAAGTCTGCGGCTTTAGCTTCTCCAGCACAGCGCGGCTACACTACACTGTAGTGCTAGACTAGTTCAGCACAGCCAGCCAAGGAGAGGAAAGGAGCGGTACTACTAAAGTCATGCAGGTTTGGGGAAAAGGTAGAAAGAGAAGGGGAGAGAAGGAAAGTGAGGGAAGGAGTGCAGAGGAAGGAGGGTCTTACCCGGCCTCGTGGCCCTTGGACTGTCCGGCGATGGCGTCCATGATGGCGTCCTGGGAGTACATGCTAATGGGGGTGTTGTACTGGGCATGGATGATGGTGGCCTTGCCCCCAGGACCCTTCACCTCGATGGGCTTGTGGGTGGACAGGGCCGTGTCCTTCAGTGCATTGGGGTTGAAGTTGGCCACATATTCGTTGCTGTCGTGGAGCGGTGGAGGGTTGGAGGAAGTTGGCAGGATAGTGATGGTGAGGGTGAAGAGGAGAAGAAGGAAAGAGAGAGGGAGAAGGAGGGAAAAGTGACGGAAAGTGAGGAAGGAGGGTGGCAGTGGAAGGAGAAATGGTGTGAGATGGTATGTGCAACAGTGTAATAGCCTGCTAGCAGATCAGTTTGTGCTTTAGCCAACTCCTCTGTCGTATATCATGCCATGCGGAACATCAACATGTATGGCACAACAACGGGTGGCACAACAAAGGAGTTGGCTAATGCACAAAAGGGGACACTTCAGACTGGGGAAATGTATGCCTTTTCTATGCCCGCCTTTTCTACGCACTTCTCAGTATTTGGTATACAGACTTAACTTATTCAGCTACATAACGTGCTCTGCAGGTGTGGCTACCTTGCACGCTCTGAATTAATTTCATTCAACCTCTGAAACCCCCCCCCCCCCCCCCCCCTTAAATGCGGTGTACCTTTTAGTTTGACAGTCTCACTAGAATATATTGAGATAACGACCTTGATCTCATGCTTAAATTCAAAGTCAGAATACGCGTAGAGAGAAAAGTGCATAAAGAGGGAATTAAGTTCCATTTACTTGCGCTTAACTCAGGTGGGAATTCCCCCCATAGAGATCTGCTACCCGGCTACGACAACAGTTTGGGGTTTTGAAGAGAAGGGCAGATAAGGAGCCATAGAGACGCGGTCTGTTACACAGCAAACATGCTCTGTAAATCCCCCAGTAGAGCAGGTACAGCACAGCTCACATATCTGCACACACACACACACACACTCAGGTTTCCCTTAAGATACAGGTCAACCCTCCCAGGTACGTGGGAGCCTACAGGCTCAGATGATGCTATACATCTGGCCCACAAGTAAACTGATCAAGATAAAAGAGCAAATGGAGGTGTTAATAGAAACATGCACTGTCATCTAAGTTATAAAAATATAAAGGCTAACTTATCCTACAAATAAGCACAGTTGATCAATGCCAGCAATGCACAGTTTCAAAATGTTCATCATATTAGCCATCTATCCAATAAAAGTCAATTACACAAGCTTCACACGTCCACACTCTCCACCTAAATGTCATAAGTACATGGCTGATGGCTCATGGGAGAATTCAGCATTATGTCAGAAAATGACCTTTATTCCCTCAAAAAATATCCCAAAACACTATTAATGAACAGGGATCTTGTCTGTGAGGGTTTACAAGTTAATGAACATCACAGGCAAAGTTGTTTTATGATAGGTTAAAATGTATTAGACGTTCACTCCCTTTTCTCTGGCGGACTTTGACAACCATTACATTCCAAACCAAAAAGGTCATTCTCATTACCAATCCTAGAACTGCTCATCCGTCTCAAAAGGCATAATCACTAGACAACAAGCCAAGACAATGCACATCCACTTCACACCAAAGAGAATGACACAATAACATTAACATGACACATTACACCATGCAGCTGAACAACAGAATCGTTTGGGCAAACACTACTACACCACATTCAGGGTAGGGTACTAACTTGGCAGGAGTGTTGGAAATAACCTGAGGCAGTGGAGAAAGAGAGAGAAAGAGACAGTGATTAACAACCCACCTCCGCGAGGTCACTTATTTGGCGTGAAGTTATGTCAGAGATAAGAGAATAGCAAAGGAGAAAAGATAGATGGAGGGTGAAGGTGAATACTGAGCTTACTGGGAATCACACAATGCAACAATGAAAGCAATCAGTGAAAAATATGTTGTTTTCACCTTTGTTGGTGTTCATTCTTGATTATGATCATTACTGAGGCTTGTCCAGCACTGATATAAAGCCATGGCATTGCAGGCTCTTTAAATATATAACATATATATTACATGGTGCTAAAATACTATTTTTACGTCAGAGCAGTGGTATGAAGTGATAAAGAAAGTGGGAGAGAGTGCAACAGACGAAAGAGAGATGTAACTTTGTACTCTATGTTTTGTAGATGCGGGTAGAAAGAGAGATAAAGAAATAGATAAAGGGAGAGAGAGAGACGTGAAGAGAGAGAGTCAGATGAGACAGAGACAGAGGCAGATATATTGGGGTTCTGTATGTTTAGAGATGGGAGCAGAGCAGAGCAGAGAGGAACCTGAACCCAGCCATTCCATGGCCTTTCAAAGAGAAGACAACAGGTGCTGGCCCTGAACCATCGTCACGGTGACAGTCTTATAGCACTCCGCAATTATTGTGGGAACCCCATGTCTCTGAGATGTGTGTGAGGTCTTTTAATGAGGTCACGCGACTGCTTTCTGTTTTAGATAACACTAGGGGAATGCTAGTTCACTGTTCATCACAAAGACTGATACAGCAAGCATTGCAATTAGCGATTCACCTCTTGACTTTCTCACATTAAAGAAATTATGCTATTAGCATTTCATTGACACAGACACATACTAGAAACAATCTCCATCTCACTGTGCAGTCACTTCGTCCATCCTGGCCACGTTTAAAGCAATGGTTTGGTTTAAAGCAATACTTATCTCTTCATATACACAAGTACTGTAAGGCTTGCCTGGGATGTCACGTGTTCATATTTTGGCAGAGGGGACACCTAATCTCCCGGGGGCTCTTCGTATTACCTGGAGGAGGGCCACAGCATGAGCTAGGGGCCTTTACAGGGACTGTGCTGCCTGCCCTGCACATTCCCCTCTGGGCGAACCTAAATCACTATAACCCATTGGGGTCACCAGCCTGTCTAGAGCCCAGCTCGGGACAAGAATACACAGCTAAATCTGAATGTTCTGAGACTCTATCCATCCTTCTGCCCCACGAGGGCCGGTCAGCAGAGCAGCGGGGATTGGGTGGAGTAGGGAGCCCCTTGGAGTAGGGTGAAGTCCCTTGGAGTATGGTGAAGTTGGCCATAGACACTGATCTATGGTAAGTTTTGTGGGGGGTTTTCTCTGAATGTTGAAGGTTTTGGAGAGGGCTGGCTGATCCTACACCTGAGCCTATAGGTAACTTCTACCCGGAGCTTCTACCCCACTCCCTCCTCTCCACTATGGGGTTCACCAGGCCTGGCCACCCCTGGCTGGTGCTGCTGTTACTACCGCCTGTTCCACTTGGTTACATACCCCACTGAGAGGCCTGCTGCAGAGCCCTTTCCTCTGTGGCTCTCCTGGAGCTGGGCCATCTCTCGCAGTGTCTCAGCTGAGTACAGCCCAATAGGGGTGTTATACTGCGCCTTCTTTGTGGGGGTCGTCTTGCCCCCAGGGCTTGGCGTTTGCCTCTTGGTGGGTGACCCCGAGTAGGAGTTTTCCTCGCCAGACGCCTCTAGTGACACGGAGGAGGTATTGCAGGCCGAGAGGCCGCCATTTATTTTGGTTGTTTGAGCCTTCAGGAGGGAAGAGGCGTGGGTGAGGTGGATAAGGGGGAAGACAGATAGAGGCGTGGTCAGAGAGGTCAACACAAAAGGTACTCTATGAAATTCAAAAATATAGTTGTTTGAACTTAAACTTGGAAGGCAGGGTGGGTGCTGCTTTGTCACCAGTATCACCAGTAGAGGGCAGTGAGAGACTTAACATAGGCACTGCCTGAGCCCAGCAGAGCCCAGGGCTGTTCTGACAGACCTCAGAGCTGGATGTGCTGCTGCTGCCTGTGTCTCCTTACACCCCGAATGGAGGAACTTTGCATGGAGCCTCCTGGAGCTACCTACCCTGACGCCTCTGGTCTGGAAGGAGGCAGTGGTTTCACTGAACATCCTTAACCCACTTTGATCCCATACGAGTGTGACTGAAGAGTGTATGTATATTTTATTTATAAGTGCAGGCAACTGAAATTCTACAATTACGGAAGTATGAACATTTAGCATTCGTTCTGCTGAATATGCTGGGAGAGTGAGACTGAACAGAGTGTTGTTGCTGGCTGCGGTCATGCTTACCTTCTGGTGAGGGATCTGTTGAATGGGAGAGTCAATTCTTGGGGTGGATGTGGGAAGTGGAAATGGCCGCTTTGACCTGTAGCAAAACAATGAAAAACAGATACATTAGGAATATTACAGTTATTACAGTGTGAATTCTACCACTTGTATAACACATAATAAGTGGCTGGCAGAAAGGTGTTCTGCACTGAAACAGCTTTGTCATGGTTTATGAGAGAGATCGAGATAGATAGAGAAAGAGAGACAGGGAGAGGAAAAGTCTAATGGAGAAAGACCAGTGTCCAACAAGTCCATTACTACCTGGACATGAGGAGCAAAGAGGTCAAAGGTCACAGAGACAGGCCCACAGAGAGCTAGGCTCAACCTGAGACCTTCACAGACCACTCAGATACAAACTGTATACCCTCCTTATCATAAGTGGTAGTGAGCCATATCACCAAGGACATAACATAGATTCCAGTGCCAGAATAAAGTACATTCCATAAAAATTTAGACGAGAAAGGTATATTCTCCAAGCTCAGCAAGTGCAAGAGTCAATCCGCCATATTGTTCGCACCGCCAATGTTTACTTGAACCAACAATGAGGTGAGGTCTAATTCAGAGAATAATGTGAATGTTTACAGAAGACTTCAGAGAATGTTCCCATAAGTTATTTGTCTACACTCTTAGAATGAAAGGTGCTCTAGAACCTAAAAGGGTTCTTCGGCTATCCCCATAGGAGAACCCTTTTGGGTTCCATGTAGCATCCTTTCCACAGAGGGTATTACATGATACTCAAAAGGGTTCTACATTGAACCTATGTTCAAAATATATACAGTGAGGGAAAAAAGTATTTGATCCTTTAAGAGTGTGCTCCTAATCTCAGCTCGTTACCTGTATAAAAGACACCTGGGAGCCAGAAATATTTGATTGAGAGGGGGTCAAATACTTATTTTCCTCATTAAAATGCAAATCAATTTATAACATTTTTTACATGCGTTTTTCTGGATTTTTTTGTTGTTATTCTGTCTCTCACTGTTCAAATAAACCTACCATTAAAATTATACACTGATCATTTCTTTGTCAGTGGGCAAACGTACAAAATCAGCAGGGGATCAAATACTTTTTTCCCTCACTGTAGGTGAAGACAAGAGGATTCTAATATTTACATTTTAGTCATATAGCAGACGCTCTTATCCAGAGCAACTTACAGTTAAGTGAGTGCATACATTTTCATACTGGCCCCCCGTGGGAAACGAACCCACAACCCTGGCGTTGCAAACGCCATGCTCTACCAACTGAGCTACATCCCTGCCGGCCATTCCCTCCCCTACCCTGGACGACGCTGGGCCAATTGTGCACCGCCCCATGGGTCTCCCGGTCGCGGCCGGCTACGACAGAACCTGGATTCGAACCAGGATCTCTAGTGGCACAGCTAGCACTGCGATGCAGTGCCTTAGACCACTGCGCCCTCTGGTCATGGGACCAGCGTTGCTAGTTAGCAAGGGCACTAGTAGTTATCAATGGAGTTGCTCCCATGAATTTGTTTATTTTCTAACGCTTCTGAATGGAATTACTACATTGTCTTAACCTTCCCATCTTCAACCTAGCCTTGAACCAAAAATAGTTATACTTGGAACCAAAAAGGGTTCTCCTATGTGGACAGCCGAAAAGCCCTTTTAGAGTGTAGCTTACTCGTTGTAGACCCTGACCTAGATCTATGGAGGTTGTATAAGACTATGGTCAGGCTCATGGGTTCAGAACGTTTGGTTTTAGCACTGTTGGTCAAGTTCAGATACACAAGTGAAATGACAAGAAAACAGTATGTGGGTGCTTTTTCTTTTGAGTGGCAAAAAGTGAGTCAAGACTTGGGAGTGCTTGCCTTCTGCCAGTTGAGAACAAGTTCTCATTTACAACTGCGACCTGGCCAAGATAAAGCAAAGCAGTGCGATAAAAAACAACACAGAGTTACATATGGGGTAAACAAAACATAGTCAAAAATACAACAGAAAATATATATACAGTGTGTGCAAATGTAGCAAGTTATGGAGGAAAGGCCATAGTGCAAAATAATTACAATTTAGTATTAACACTGGAATGATAGATGTACAAGAGATGATGTGCAAATAGAGATACTGGGGTGCAAATGAGCAAAATAAATAACAATATGGGGATGAGGTAGTTGGGTGGGCTAATTTCAGATGTGCTGTGTACAGGTGCAGTGATCGGTAAGGTGCTCTGACAACTGATGCTTAAAGTTAGTGAGGGAGATAAGTGTCTCCAGCTTCAGAGATTTTTGTAGTTCGTTCCAGTCATTGGTAGCAGAGAACTGGAAGGAATGGCGGCCAAAGGAGGTGTTGGCTTTGGGGATGACCAGTGAGATATACCTGCTGGAGCGCATACTATGAGTGGGTGTTGCTATGGTGACCAATGATCTAAGATAAGGCGGGGATTTGCCTAGCAGTGATTTATAGATGACCTGGAGCCAGTGGGTTTGGCGACGAATATGTAGTGAGGACCAGCCAACAAGAGCGTACAGGTCACAGTGGTGGGTAGTATATGGGGCTTTGGTGACAAAACGGATGGCACTGTGATAGACTACATCCAATTTGCTGAGTAGAGTGTTGGAGGCTATTTTGAAAAATGACATCGCCGAAGTCAAGGATCGGTATGATAGTCAGTTTAACGAGGGCATGTTTGGCAGCATGAGTGAAGGAGGCTTTGTTGCGAAATAGGAAGCCGATTCTAGATGTAACTTTTGATTGGCGATGCTTAATGTGAGTCTGGAAGGAGAGTTTACGGTCTAACCAGACACCTAGGTATTTGTAGTTGTCCACATACTCTAGGTCAGAACCGCCGAGAGTAGTGATTCTAATCGGATGGGCGGGTGCCAGCAGCATTCGATTGAAGAGCATGCATTTCGTTTTACTAGTGTTTAAGAGCAGTTGGAGGCTACGGAAGGAGTGTTGTATGGCATTGAAGCTCGTTTGGAGGTTTGTTAACACAGTGTCCAATGAAGGGCCAGATGTATACAAAATGGTGTTGTCTGCGTAAAGGTGGATCTGAGAGTCACCAGCAGCAAGAGCGACATCACTGATATACACAGAGAAAAGAGTCAGCCCGAGAATTGTACCCTGTGGCACCCCCATATAGACAACCATAGGTCCAGACAACAGGCCCTCCGATTTGACACACTGAACTCTATCTGAGAAGTAGTTGGTGTACCAGGCGAGGCAGTCATTTGAGAAACCAAGGCTATTTAGTCTGCCAATAAGAATGCGGTGGTTGACCGAGTCGAAAGCCTCGGCCAGGTCGATGAAGACGGCTGCACAGTACTGTCTATTATCGACTGCGGTTATAATATCGTTTAGGACCTTGAACGTGGCTGAGGTGCACCCATGACCAGCTCGGAAACCGGATTGCATAGTGGAGAAGGTACATTGGGATTCGAAATGGTCGGTGATCTGTTTGTTAACTTGGCTTTCAAAAACTTTTGAAAGGCACGGCAGGATGGATATAGGTCTGTAACAGTTTGGATCTAGAGTGTCACCCCCTTTGAAGAGGGGGATGACCGCAGCAGCTTTCCAATCTCTGGGGATCTCAGACGTTACGAAAGAGAGGTTGAACAGGCTAGTAATAGGGGTTGCGACAATTTCGGCTGCTAATTCTAGAAAGAAAGGGTCCAGATTGTCAAACCCAGATTATTTGTAGGGGTCCAGATTTTGCAGCTCTTTCAGAACATCAACTGTCTGAATTTGTGTGAAGGAGAAGCGGGGGGGGGGGGGGGGGGCATGGGCAAGTTGCAGCGGAGGGTGCAGAGCTGGTGGCCGGGGTAGTGGTAGCCAGGTGGAAAGCATGGCCAGTCGTAGCAAAATGCTTGTTGAAATTCTTGATTATTGTAGATTTATCAGTGGTGATAGTGTTTCCTAGCCTCAGTGCAGTGGGCAGCTGGGAGGAGGTGCTCTTATTCTCCATGGACTTTACAGTGTCCCAAAACCTTTTGGAGTTAGTGCTACAGGATGCACATTTCTGTTTGAAAAAGCTAGCCTTTGCTTTCCTAACTGCTTGTGTATATTGGTTCCTAACTTCCCTGAAAAGTTGCATATCGCGGGTGCTATTCGATGCTAATGAAGTACGCCACAGCATGTTTTTGTGCTGGTCAAGGGCAGTCAAGTCTGAGGAGAACCAGGGGCTATATCTGTTCTTAGTTCAGAATTTTTTGAATGGGGCATGCTTATTTAAGATTGAGAGGAAAGCACTTTTAAAGAACAACCAGGCATCCTCTACTGACGGAATGAGATCGATATCCATCCAGGATACCTGGGCCAGGTGAATTAGGAAGGCCTGCTCGCTAAAGTGTTTTAGGGAGCGTTTGACAGTGATGAGGGGTGGTCGTTTGACCGCGGACCCGTTATGGACGCAGGCAATAAGGCAGTGATCGCTGAGATCCTGGTTGAAGAGAGCGGAGGTGTATTTAGAGGGTTAGTTAGTCAGGATGATATCTATGAGGGTACCCATGTTTACGGATTTAGGGTTGTACCTGGTAGGTTCCTTGATAATTTGTGTGAGATTGAGGGCATCTAGTTTGGATTGTACGATGGCCGGGGTGTTAAGCATATCCTAGTTTAGGTCACCAAGCAGTACGAACTCTGAGGATAGATGGGAGGCAATCAATTCACATATGGTGTCCAGGGCACAGCTGGGGGCTGAGGGGGATCTGTAGCAAGCGGCAACAGTGAGAGACTTATTTCTGGAAAGGTGGATTTTTAGAAGTAGGAGCTCAAACTGTTTGGGCACAGACCTGGATAGTATGATCGAGCTCTGCAGGCTAGCTCTACAGTAGATTGCAACTCCACCCCCTTTGGCAGTTCTATCTAGATGGAAAATGTTGTAGTTGGGGATGGACATTTCTGAATTTTTGGTGGCCTTCCTAAGCCAGGATTAAGACACTGCTAGAACATCAGGGTTGGCGGAGTGTGCTAATGCAGTGAATAACTCAAACTTAGGAAGGAGGCTTCTGATGTTAACATGCAAAAAGCCAATGCTTTTACGGTTACAGAAGTCAACAAATGATAGCGCCTGGAGAGATACTGGGGGCTGCAGGGCCTGGGTTAACCTCTACATCACCAGAGGAACAGAGGAGGACTAGAATAAGGATACGGCTAAAGGCTTTAAGAACTGGTCTTCTAGTGTGTTGGGCACAGAGAATAAAGGGGGCAGATTTCCGGGCGTTGTAGAATAGATTCAGGGCATTATGTACAGACAAGGATATGGAAGGATATGAGTACAGTGGAGGTAAACCTAAGCGTTGGGTAACAATGAAAGAGATAGCATCACTGGAGGCACCGATTGAGCCGGTCTCCGCGTGTATGGGGGGTGGAACAAAGGAGCTATTTGAGGCAGTTTGAGAGGGACTTGGGGCTCTACAGTGAAATTGTATAATAAGAGCTAACTGGAACAGCAATAGGCAAGGCATATTGACATGGGAGAGAGGCATAAAGCAATCACAGGTGTTTTTCGAGAGAGCTAAGACAACAACTGGTAATGGCGATGAAAGTTTGGGCTGAGGCTAAACAGATAAAACAGGACAGGGTACCGTGTAAAGGAACAGTCCAGCAGGCATCAGCTGTGCAGCTGAGTGATCATAAGGTCCAGTGAACAGCAATGTGAGTCCAGAAGCAGTTCGAATTGGTGCTACAGCACAGGCGATCAGGAAGCACGGCTGAGTAAGTAGTGCATATTGTAAGTGTTCAATGTTCTAATATCTGCATTGTGTTCTTCTGCGGCGTACAGTTGTTATCCAAATAGTGGTTATTTATACTGAACAAAAATATAAATGCAACATGCAACAATTTCATTGATCAGTCAATTGAAATAATCTATGGATTTCACATGACTGGGAATACAGATATGCATCGGTTGGCAACAGATACTTTAAAAAAATGGGCTTCACAATGGGCCTCAGGATCTCCTCAATGTATTTTTGTGTATTCAAATTGCCATCGATAAAATGCAATTGTGTTCGTTGTCCGTAGGTTATGCCTGCCCATACCATAACCCCACTGCCACCATGGGGCACTCTGTTCACAACGTTGACATCAGCAAACCACTCACCCACACGACGCCATACATGTGGTCAGAGGTTGTGAGGCCGGTTGGACGTACTGCCAAATTCTCTAAAACGATGTTGGGGGTAGCTTATGGTAGAGAAATGAATTTTCTGGCAACAGCTCTGGTGGACATTCCTGCAGTCAGCATGCCTTTTGCACGCTCCCTCAAAAACTTGAGACATCTGTTGCATTGTGTTGTGTGACAAAACGGCACATTTTAGAGTGGCCTTTTATTGTCCCCAGCACAAGGTGCACCTGTGTAACGATCATGTTGTTTAATCAGCTTCTTGATATGCCACACCTGTCAGGTGGATGGATTATCTTGGCAAAGGAGAAACACTCACTAACAGATGTAAACAAATTTGTGCACAACAATTTAGAGAAAAAGTTTTGTGCATATGGATAGCTGCATAGAAAATGGCACTGGCATAATCCATTGGCATCTTCGTGGGGCACTGCAGGCAGGCAGAATTCAATGCAGCTTTTTGAACGAATTCTCTGGCCTTTTGCCCTCTGTCTGCCTGCCTGCTACACAAAAGGCCCAAATGGCTCTGGCAAACCATGTATTTTTTGTTGTTCACAAGTTGAGCACAAAGAAAAGGATTGAATGACCGAGTGTACTTTCCAAAAGTTCCAATTTACCAAAGATTTTGGCCTTGGATTAGAATGGCTTGACAATATAAGTGGTGAAAAAACACAGACAAAATGCACATTTATAATAGATGCTTCATGTGTTGACTACATGCATGCTCCAGAACTCTTGACTGTCTTCACTCGTCTTTATAGCGCTTAGTCTTCTGCACACTAATACGCCGTTCTTGTGGTGTTGGAAATAAAAGCCCCAATTGCCCAGTTTCTCATATAGAAATACTGACACATTGTTTAATTGGTTGATGTTTCAGTCGTTATGAGTGACCTTCCTTAAGGTATTACTTCAGTTTCACACGCCATCACCTCAACACATGGCAGCAGTGGACCACAAGGCATTGTGGGATAGCAGTGCCCTGCTGACCTGAAGAATGGTAAAATAGGGGGATGACGCCCCACTGCTAATCTCCCACTGTATGCAAACAGAGCAGAGGGGGGTGAAGCGGCTCCTTTTTAGGCGCCTTTTTCTATGACCAACTGAACCGCAGGTTAACCTCTCTTGATTGATTTTGGGAGTAGATTTATTGGAATTGCACCCAGCAGTATGAGGAGATTAAGGTTGTTTTGAGGAACCCATCATTTGAGGATTACAGGACTGTCTGGTGCAGTTTCCTTCCATATGGTGGTAGACATACCTGGCATGCCTCCCCTGTTTTTGCACTGCTCTCACATCTCCACACATTATACAAGCAGAGGTCAGATCCAGCTCCATCCACAACATCCTCCTCTTATCCCAACAGGCTTCTTCCCTGCCTGGTGGTGAGAGTTTTGTTATCAACCAATTTTTAAAAACAAGCTCTCTCTAACAGTTGATGTTTTTTTGGCGAAAGAAAAATGAAATAAGAGGTAAAGTGTTTCTTGGGAAAACAGCGAAGAAAGATTGAGAAAGAGGAGAGACGATGACAAGCTCTGGAAAGGCACGGCAGGAGTGCCTCCTTGTATCAATCAACCAGTGGGAGGACAAGCACTTTATCGATCCAGCCTATGCCAGCCTTTCCTCCCCATTTTACAACAAATCAGACGGCTGATGAAAAACAGCCTGGAGATGAGGGGAGGGAGGTGGGGGGTCTCGCAAGCCGGCGTGGGCGGAGTATTGGGGGGAGGAGGGGGGTTGAAGTTGATGAGCAGGTACAGATGTGAGGAGGTTGGAGGGACACCTAGGAAACTACTCAACCCCCCCCACTAAAACGGAAACAACCTCTTCTTAAAAATGTACTGTACATGCATTCACAGGAGCGATGCAATCAAACATTTGCTGGTTTGAATCCCAGGGTTGATGGGGGAAAATCGGTGTGGTGGGATCCAGCAAAAAGGACACCACAGCAAAAACTTGAGAAGACCAGTAGACAGTGAAAGAACACTGTGTGGTTGTATAATATACCCATCAAACAAGGAATCACCACATTCCTTTAACATTTGTAATGAAACAAACCGAATGGCCCCAGTGTAAAATACTGTCACTGAGAGCAGCCCGACTCAGACTCTTGACATCTGCCACAGTACACAGATGGCTGAGAGTGTGACTCTTAAGTAAAATGTCAAGTACAAAGCAGAGTGCAGCCATGTGTGGCTCCCCTGAGTGTCAGAATGGAAAACAAACTGACAGGTACAGTGGGGGAAAAAACTATTTAGTCAGCCACCAATTGTGCAAGTTCTCCCACTTAAAAAGATGAGAGAGGCCTGTAATTTTCATCATAGGTACACGTCAACTATGACAGACAAAATTAGGGAAAAAAATCCAGAAAATCACATTGTAGGATTTTTAATGAATTTATTTGCAAATTATGGTGGAAAATAAGTATTTGGTCAATAACAAAAGTTTCTCAATACTTTGTTATATACCCTTTGTTGGCAATGACACAGGTCAAACGTTTTCTGTAAGTCTTCACAAGGTTTTCACACACTGTTGCTGGTATTTTGGCCCATTCCTCCATGCAGATCTCCTCTAGAGCAGTGATGTTTTGGGGCTGTCGCTGGGCAACACGGACTTTCAACTCCCTCCAAAGATTTTCTATGGGGTTGAGATCTGGAGACTGGCTAGGCCACTCCAGGACCTTGAAATGCTTCTTACGAAGCCACTCCTTCGTTGCCCGGGCGGTGTGTTTGGGATCATTGTCATGCTGAAAGACCCAGCCACGTTTCATCTTCAATGCCCTTGCTGATGGAAGGAGGTTTTCACTCAAAATCTCACGATACATGGCCCCTTTCATTCTTTCCTTTACACGGATCAGTCGTCCTGGTCCCTTTGCTGAAAAACAGCCCCAAAGCATGATGTTTCCACCCCCATGCTTCACAGTAGGTATGGTGTTCTTTGGATGCAACTCAGCATTCTTTGTCCTCCAAACACGATGAGTTGAGTTTTTACCAAAAAGTTATATTTTGGTTTCATCTGACCATATGACATTCTCCCAATCCTCTTCTGGATCATCCAAATGCACTCTAGCAAACTTCAGACGGGCCTGGACATGTACTGGCTTAAGCAGGGGGACACGTCTGGCACTGCAGGATTTGAGTCCCTGGCGGCGTAGTGTGTTACTGATGGTAGGCTTTGTTACTTTGGTCCCAGCTCTCTGCAGGTCATTCACTAGGTCCCCCCGTGTGGTTCTGGGATTTTTGCTCACCGTTCTTGTGATCATTTTGACCCCACGGGGTGAGATCTTGCGTGGAGCCCCAGATCGAGGGAGATTATCAGTGGTCTTGTATGTCTTCCATTTCCTAATAATTGCTCCCACAGTTGATTTCTTCAAACCAAGCTGCTTACCTATTGCAGATTCAGTCTTCCCAGCCTGGTGCAGGTCTACAATTTTGTTTCTGGTGTCCTTTGACAGCTCTTTGGTCTTGGCCATAGTGGAGTTTGGAGTGTGACTGTTTGAGGTTGTGGACAGGTGTCTTTTATACTGATAACAAGTTCAAACAGGTGCCATTAATACAGGTAACGAGTGGAGGACAGAGGAGCCTCTTAAAGAAGAAGTTACAGGTCTGTGAGAGCCAGAAATCTTGCTTGTTTGTAGGTGACCAAATACTTATTTTCCACCATAATTTGCAAATAAATTCATAAAAAATCCTACAATGTGATTTTCAGGATTAATTTTTCTCATTTTGTCTGTCATAGTTGACGTGTACCTATGATGAAAATTACAGGCCTCTCTCATCTTTTTAAGTGGGAGAACTTGCACAATTGGTGGCTGACTAAATACATTTTTTCCCCACTGTACCTCTGGTCTAAGGTGAACAAACACAAATCTCCCAAAAAAAAGTAGAGAGGTAAAGTCAGTGGGGATTAAGAAGTGAGACCTAACATGCTTTAGCCACTGACCTGACCGAGTTATCTTTTAACTGGTTGAACAACTAGGGTAAAAAAAATGACTGCAGCAGCAGTACAAACAGCTACCAAAGAGCCAAGAGATAGGGAGACCTTTGTGTAGCCGAACTATGGGGTACAGTCCAGTTAGAGGGAGAGTGTCCAATGTAATACCCATCTGTCATGGTAAATACCATACCCTGTCACCTCGCTAATTGACTTGGAGATGAAACAGAGAAAATAAAGTGCCTTGACCTTTTCATTGCCTCCCTCTGACAAAGGACAGCCCATCGAATTAGGAATGAGAATAAAACGTAATTTAATAGGATCTCTAAAGGACAGCCACTATCTGGCTTTATGTAGGGGTGCATTAAGGGATTTAGCCTTCAAAAGGTTTATGTAACAACAACACTACCAGCAGCCTTCGAGAGCCCTCAAACACAACAAACAGGTCCACATTCAATACCAGAGTTTTAAAAAACTGTTATGAGATTGTAGGTTGAAAGGAAATGTCACCCTGGACCTCAACATAGTCTTCATTTCAGTGACCCATTCACTGCAGTGACGAAGACTGTTGCCTTATAGACTCCATTTTGATTAGTCTGTCTGAGAGTGAGCGAAGTTATTCAAATGATAATAAAGTGATATAAAGTGAAAAAGGGGCTAGTTACTCCTCTGTGATTTTTTTAATGAGTTTTATAGTTGAGACATAATTTAACTGTAAATGTGCCATGAACACAACCAGTCATGATGTATTCATCTGATTGTCAAACAAATAACTACCTTCGCACATTTATCCAAAATCATTCCAGCATCCAAACAGTGCACTGTGCACCCGCCAACTTTCGTTCAATTCGTAAGTGGCTGAAACGATCTCAACAGAGAAAGCATCCGAGCGAGCGAAACAGCGCCCCTCTGTCTCAGTATACAGTGCCCTCCACAATTATTGGCACCCCTGTTTAAGATGTGGTCGAGGACTTCCAAAAATTCTCTTTTTTTTTTAAACAACATAGAACCCAAATGCAAAAAAATAGAAAAATCCAACCTTTTATTTAAGTACATTACTTTGGTGTAAAAAAAAAAAGATCACACATTTAGAAAAAAATAAACTTGAAATCATGTGTCCCACAATTATTGGCACCCCTGATGTTAATAATTTGTACAACCCCCTTTTGCCAACAAGACAGCACTTAATCTCCTCCTATAACATTTCACAAGATTGGAGAACACAGAGAGAGGGATCTTTGACCATTCTTCTTTGCACAATCTTTCTAGATCATCCAGTGTCCTGGGTCCTCTCTTATGCACTCTCCTCTTTAGCTCGCCCCACAGGTTTTCGATTGGGTTGAGGTCTGGGGACTGAGATGGCCATGGGAGGACCTTGAGTTTGTGACTGCTGAACCATTTTTGTGTAGATTTTGCCACATGTTTTGGATCATTATCCTGCTGAAAGACCCAGTGACGACCCATCTTCAGCTTTCTGGCAGAGGCCATCAGGTTTTTATTTAAAATGTCCTGGTAGTTCAAAGCGTTCATAATGCCATGCACCCTAACAAGGTTCCCAGGGCCTTTGGAAGAGAAACAGGCCCACAGCATCACAGATCCTCCACCATACTTCACGGTGGGCATGAGGTGCTTTTCGGCATACTCATCTTTTGTTTTACGCCAGACCCACTTAGAGTGTTTGTTGCCAAAAAGCTCAATCTTAGTCTCATCTGACCAAAGCACACGATCCCAGTTGAAGTCCCAGTGCCGCTTAGCAAACTCCAGACGTTTACGTTTGTGAGTGTTAGTGAGAAAAGGCTTTTTCCTTGCATGCCTCCCAAACAGTCTGATGGTTGTTTTGGAGACTTTGTGACCCCAAGATGCCACTCTTTGATGCAATTCTGTGACAGTGAGCTTAGGACTTTTTTTTACTTCTCTTACCATCCTCCTCACTGTGCGTTGTGGCAAGATAAACTTGGGACCTCTTCCAGCCTTGTTTGTCACTGTTCCAGTTGTTTTAAACTTCTTAATGATTCCTCTGACTGTAGATACGGGCAAGTTAAGGCGAGGGGCTATTTTCTTGTAGCCATTGCCTGACTTATGAAGGTCGACACAAATCTGCCTTACTTGAATGGTGTGTTCTCTTGTCTTTGCCATGTTGACAAATGGGTAAGAGAATTAGGCCTCTGTGTCACGTCATATTTATACCCCAGGGAAACAGGAAGTCATTAATTACTAATTAAAAGTTCCTAGATACCCTGACCAACTTTAGCAACTACAGAAAAATATATTTTTTAAAAAATCAATTAAAATTTTCAGCGGAATTGTTAGGGGTGCCAATAATTGTGGGACAATTTTTTTTTTTGACCACCAAAGTAATGTACTTAAATAAAAGGTTGGATTTTTCTCTTTTTTTGCATTTGGGTTCTATGTTGTTTAAAAAAAAATGAGAATTTTTGGAAGTCCTCGACCACATCTTAAACAGGGGTGCCAATAATAGTGGAGGGCACTGTACATAGCCCATGTATCTGATGCTGTCTAGACCACAACAAAAAAAGTATGACATGCCATCCTCATTTTGGCCAGACAGCATCAGATTCACATACATGTCCTCTGCCTCGACGACGATGGCAGTATTATCAGCAGCACCTGTCTTTTTACTAAATAAATGCATATTGTATCCCCCTAGAGTCTAAGGGCCCGGGGCTGGGTTTCTACTAAGCTAGCTTTGTCGAGAACCAGGTTTCCCTAATACGGGCAGAAATGGCAGAAAATAGCTAAATAGGTGGAGACCCTGTGTAAATCAGTGACGCCTCACTACACGTCAAACCAATCAAATGTCTTGCTTGGGCGAAGCTCCAATAGTGCCCACTAGATTAGTGTTGTCGGTGCAATAGCGCGTGACGATTCTTTATACAGTCTATGGTGAGGATGGCCGGGAAATCGTAGATTAAAACCCCATCAAAATATGTTGATGTATACCCAGTTTATGAGACCCCTTGATGATGTGAGGCCTGAGGCAATTGCCTCTTCTGACTAATGGTAAGTCCACCAGTGCTAACATCTCCCCCTAGACATTCAGTAGCCTCTATCATTTGGATGTAACTGGCTGATTGTTTGATATAGGAAGCGTTCATATCACACATGAACTACAAGCTATATTGCAGTGCTTTTTTTCATTAGCACTTTATCTTGTATCTGCAACCTTGGGAGTCAAGATTGTGTGTGTTTGTGTGTGTGTGTGTGTGCATGCGTGAGTAATTGAAGGCATCCACTGTGTTTGCCGTAGATCAGCGGTGGGGGGTGATTCAGCAGATTCAAATTAATGAAAAGACGACATGGGACACTATCAAGGATGCAGTGTTTCCCCTATATTAATTTAGCTGCGGCGGGGCCTCTGCTGCTAAATCATTGCCACCACTCCCCAAAAAGGTAATACTTTTTTAGGATGGTAAAATATTTTCAGTGTAAACTTAAAACAACTAAAACACATACAGTGCCTTCAGAAAGTATTCACACCACTTGACTTTTTCCACATTTTGTTGTTACAGCCTGAATTTCAAATGAATTAAATATAGATGTTTTGTCACTGGCTTACTCATAATACCCCATAATGTCAAAGTGGAATTATGTTTTTTATATTTTTTTCGAATTCATAAAAAATGAAAAGCTGAAATGTCTTGAGTTAATAAGCATTGAACCCCTTTGTTATGGCAAGCCTACATTTTAGGAGTACAAATGTGCTTAACAAGTCACATAATAAGTTGCATGGACTCACCCTGTGTGCAATAATAGTGTTTAACATGATTTTTGAATGACTACCTCATCTCTGTACCCCACACATACAATTATCTGTAAGTTCCCTCAGTCAAGCAGTGAATTTCAAACATAGATTCAACCACAAAGACCAGGGAGGTTTTCCAATGCCTCGCAAAGAAGGGCACCTATTGGTAGATGGGTAAAAAAAAAAAAAAAAAAAAAAAGTAGACATTGAATATCCCTTAAGCATGGTGAAGTTATTAATTACACTTTGGATGGTGTATCAATACACCCAGTCACTACAAAGATACAGGCATCCTTCCTAACTCAGTTGCCGGAGGGGAAGGAAACCACTCAGGGATTTCACCATGAGGCCAATGGTGACTTTAAAACAGTTACAGAGTTTAATGGCTGTGAAAGGAGAAAACTGAGGATGGATCAACAACATTGTAGTTACTCCACAATACTAACCTAATTGACAGAGTGAAAAGAAGGAAGCCTGTACATAATAAAAATATTCCAAAACATGCATTCTGTTTGCAACAAGACACTAAAGTAATACTGCAAATTGTGGCAAAGTAATTTACCTTTTTTCCTGAATACAAAGTGTTATGTTTGGGGCAAATCCAATACAACATATTACTGAGTACCACTCTCCATATTTTCAAGCATAGTGGTGGCTGCAACATGTTATGCGTATGCTTGTAATCATTAAGGACTGGGGAATTTTCAGGATAAAAAAGAAACGGAATGGAGCAAAGCACAGGCTAAATCCTAGAGGAAAACCTGGTTCAGTCTGCCTTCCACCAGACACAGCGATGAATTCACCTTTCAGCAGGACAATAACCTAAAACACAAGGCCAACTCTACACTGGAGTTGCTTACCAAGAAGACAGTGAATGTTCCTGAGTGGTCGAGTTACAGTTGACTTAAATCTGCTTGAAAATCTATGGCAAGACCTGAAAATTGTTGTTTAGCAATGATCAACAACCAATTTGGCAGAGCTTGAAGAATTCTGAAAATAATAATGGGCAAATTCTGTGCAGTTCTGTTTTTGTCGTGTGTCTGTAAATAGCCTGTAAATACCCTGTTTTTTTGTATTTTTCGTACATATTTCCCTATCAGACTTTTCATCCTTCTACAAAATATACTTTCCTGCAACCCGCCTCACTCAATGTGGAACGGATTCTATTATTGACTTACCTTTTATATAGAATCTCCAGTTGAAACTAGCTAGCCAGCTAACTAGCTACTTGCTATTAGCCACAGTTAGCGGTATTTCACCCAGAACATTGGATTTTTTTTCTGCGGGATTAATTTAATCACTGGATATTAATCACCGGATATTGGGCCAGTCTGCACAGCGCGTTATCGACCCAGAACATATCAGTTTTTCTGCCGGAATCACTGAATCACTGGACCTTTAACTCCGGATTCATCGCTACCAGCTAGCTTCAACTAAATGGACGCTGTGGTCTGGCTAATCATCCTGAGCTAGGCCCATCTCCCGGCTATCTACCCCTCTGTCAACCGGACGGGACCACCTAGTGTTGACACGGAGCCCCGCCGATCCTACACGACTGGTCTGCCGACGAAATCGTCTGATGTGGTTACGACAACGTCGACCACGAAGATTCCATCTGCTAGCCCCGGCCCGCTAGCACACGCTAGCCGTGGCCTCTTACCTGCTAGTGCTTTAGCAGCCTCCGAACTATCCTATTGCTGTTCACCGGACCTTATGATAACTCAGCTATACAGCTGATGTCTGCTGGACTGTTCCTTTTTACGGTACTACATCCTGTTTATGTTTAGCCTCAGCCCAAACATGGTTAGCTTATTGTTGTTTCGGTTATTTCTAATTGTACTATTTCACTGTAGATCCCCCAGCCCAGCTAAACCTGCCTTAGATAGCTCCTTTGTCCCACCCCCCATACACGCAGAGACCGACTCAATTGGTGCCTCTAGTGATACTATCTCTTTCATTGTTACCCAACGCTTAGGTTTACCCCCACTTTACTCATATCCTTCCATATCCTTGTCTGTACATAATGCCCTGAATCTTTTCTACAACACCCGGAAATCTGCCCCCTTTATTCTATGTACCCAACGCACTAGAAGACCAGTTCTTAAAGCCTTTAGCCGTATCCTTATTCTAGTCCTCCTCTGTTCCTCTGGTGATGTAGAGGCTAACCCAGGCCCTGCAGCCCTCAGTATCACTCCTACTCCCCAGGCGCTATCATTTGCTGACTTCTGTAATCGCAAAAGTCTTGGTTTCTTGCACGTAAACATCAGAAGTCTACTTCCTAAGTTTGAGTTATTCACTGCATTAGCACACTCCGCCAACCCTGATGTTCTAGCAGTGTCTGAATCCTGGCTCAGGAAGGCCACCAAAAATTCTGAAATTTCCATCCCCAACTATAACATTTTCCGTCTAGATAGAACTGCCAAAGGGGGTGGAGTTGCAATCTACTGTAGAGATAGCCTGCAGAGCTCTATCATACTATCCAGGTCTGTGCCCAAACAGTTTGAGCTTCTACTTCTAAAAATCCACCTTTCCAGAAATAAGTCTCTCACTGTTGCCGCTTGCTACAGACCCCCCTCAGCCCCCAGATGTGCCCTGGACACCATATGTGAATTGATTGCACCCCATTTATCCTCAGAGTTTGTACTGCTTGGTGACCTAAATTGGGATATGCTTAATACCCCGGCCATCCTACAATCCAAACTAGATGCCCTCAACCTCACGCAAATTATCAACGAACCTACCAGGTACAACCCTCAGGGGATTGAATACTTATCTAATCAAGATATTCTAGTGTTTTATTTTTTACAAATGTTATAACTTTTCTTCCACCTTGATATTAGAGTATGTTGTGTAGATCTTTGACAAAATCAATTTTAATCCCACTTTGTAACAACAAAATGTGGAAAAAGTCAAGGGGCGTGAATACTTTCTGAAGGCACTGTCTAAAGTACTGTATGGAGAAAAGAAAATGGAGCTATATATTTTTTATTAAGATAACATTTAAGAAGTACAATCACCAAAATAAAAACTAGGCTGTCAGAGAGAACCTAAAATTCTAAAAATGTCATGGCATGGGGCCCCCATTGATTTTGTTATAATGTTTGAGTCACTCATATAGCATAAGAACATGGCATAAGCCGTGGAAAAATCTGTAGAATTGCAGGAAATTAGCTTTAAAAACTGCCAAATTTTCTCTCTCAGACCCATGACAAAATGTATAGAATTGCAGGAAACTAGTTTTAAAACGGTGAAAATATTATCTCCGCCACCTGGCAAAATGCCAAGACGAGGACCTTAAACTGGTTCAGACACCGTGCCATTAGCCACGTCAACAACTATGCGCCCCCACCTCCCCTATCCCACTCTAACTTTGCCACTGCTGCTGAAAAAAAATCATAGGGGTAACACTGAAGGACGACCATATCTGTCCTCTGCTCGAACTTTCATGTCTATGTGTGACAGAGTAAACTTACAGATTTTGCAAAGAGATTTGTGTTCATGGTTTGTCTTTCCTTAGGTTTGGCCATGAGGTACGGGTCTGTACACAAGCATTTGTTCCAAACTAATCAATTCAAGCATGGTCCAGAGACAGATGCTGCTTGCTAATAATATTGTTACACTGATTTGCTTTTTCATATAGTAACATTGATAAAAAAATGTACTCAGTGCACTTCTGGTTATTTGTATGGGGAGAACAGTGTCAACAGAGAAAAAACTGTTACATCATATTGATGTACAGTACCAGTCAAAAAGTAGGACACACCTACTCATTCCAGGGTTTTTCTTTATTTTTTACTAGTTTCTACATTGTTGAATAATAGTGAAGACATCAAAACTATGAAATAACACATATGGAATCATGTAGTAACCAAAATAAACTGTTAAACAAAATCAACATATATTTTATATTTGAGATTCTTCAAAGTAGCCAACCTTTGCCTTGAAGACAGCTTTGCACACTCTTGGCATTCTCTCAACCAGCTTCATGAGGTAGTCACCTGGAATGCATTTCAATTAACAGGTGTGCCTTCTTAAAAGCTAAAAAGCTCAAATATGCAAAGTGAAACGACAGTCCATCACTACCTTAAGACATGAAGGTCAGTCAATACGGAACATTCCAAGAAATGGGAACTTTTCTTCAAGTGCAGTCGCAAAAACCATCAAGCGCTATGATGAAACTGGCTCTCATGAGGACCGCCACAGGAATGGAAGACCCAGAGTTACCTCTGCTGCAGAGGATAAGTTCATTATAGTTACCGGCCTCAGAAATTGCAGCCCAAATAAATGCTTCACAGAGTTCAAGTAACAGACACATCTCAACATCAACTGTTCAGAGGGGACTGTGTGAATCAGGCCTTCATTGTCGAATTGCTGCAAAGAAACCACTACTAAAGGACACCAATAAGAAGAAGAGACCTGCTTGGGCCAAGAAACACGAGCAATGGACATTAGACCAGTGGAAATCTGTCCTTTGGTCTAGAGTCCAAATTTGAGATTTTTGGTTCCAACCGCTGTGTCTTTGTGAGACGCGGTGTGAGTGAACGGATGATCTCTGCATGTGTATTTCTCACCGTAAAGCATGGAGGAGGTGGTGTTATGGTGCTTTGCTGGTGACACTGTCAGTGATTTATTTAGAATTCAAGGCACACTTAATGCATGGCTACCACAGCATTCTACAGCGATACGCCGTCCCATCTGGTTTGGGCTTAGTGGGACTATCACTTGTTTTTCAACAGGACAATGACCCAACACACCTCCAGGCTGTGTAAGTGCTATTTTACCAAGAAGGAGAGTGATGGACTGCTGCATCAGATGACCTGGCCTCGACAATCCCCCGACCTCAACCAAATTGAGATGGTTTGGGATGAGTCGGACCACAGAGTGAAGGAAAAGCAGCCAACAAGTGCTCAGCATATGTGGGAACTCCTTCAAGACTGTTGGAAAAGCATTCGAGGTGAAGCTGGTTGAGAGAATGCCAAGAGTGTGCAAAGCTGTCATCAATGAAAGGGTGGCTATTTCATAGTTTTGATGTCTTCACTTTTATAGGTGAAAAATCTGTTGATGTGCCCTTAAGCAAGGCACTTAACCCTAATTGCTCATGTAAGTCGCTCTGGATAAGAGCGTCTGCTAAATGACTAAAATGTAAATGTAAATGTATTCTACAATGTAAAAAAATAGTAAAAAATAAAGAAAAGCCCTTGAATGAGTAGGTGTGTCCAAACATTTGACTGGTAGTGTATGTCCCATGATAAAAGTGTCCCAAAGCTAGCTTTGGTTCTCTAGTTTTAGGACAACAGGTGTGAAAATATAATTATTTATATTCCCTCCCTCCATCCATTCCCTCTCTCCTCAATCCTCAGATGACAGAGTGGCCACATCTCTACCTCTAAAAGATCTGAGGCAGCCCACTCTGTCACTGTCTCCCTGTGCCTGTTTAAAATGACACCTAATATCTCTGTCTGATCATCAATTATGCCACTATAAGAGTTGGCCCTCAGAGAGAGGAGTGTGTGTGTGTGTGTGTGTGTGTGTGACGTACTTCTGCATGGTGAGGGCCAGGTTAAAGCTGGCAGACTTGATCTTGTTCTGGGCCTCCAGGTGGGTCATGCCCTCAGTGCTGACCCCGTCGATGGCCACGATGATGTCACCCTGGATCAGGTTGCCCTGCTGTGCCTTGCTCCCTGGGGTGATCTGCGGATGGTCAGCACACACACACACACACACACAGGTCAACCTCAGTCATAATGCTCTTCAACAATGGGCACTCAGCATAGAGGTCAACCTTAATCATAATGTTCTTTGTAAATGGACACTAGTGAGGAGTGATTAACCAAAATGTCAAAACATTTTTCAATATTAAACAGATGTCGGTTCAATTATTTGATTTACATTTCGTTAAGTTTTTTTTGTATGCTTGATGCTCAGTTTCTATAGAGAGAAATTAGATCAAGCCCGAATTGTGCAATGTAGTAGGGAGTTGTAGTTTCCAACAGGACAATATTCTACATAGTTTAGTGCAGAAAATATGGTAATTAACTACAATGACCATAATCCATTGCCCGCCCGCTTACTTGTTCAGTCTCGGTCTGTGTGGAGCAGACACTGAGACCTCGTTATAATAAATAATAAAAATAATTGGTCATTTAGCAGACGCTCTTATCCAGAGCGACTTACAGGAGCAATTAGGGTTAAGTGCCTTGCTCAAGGGCACATCGACAGATTTTTCACCTAGTCGGCTCGGGGATTAGAACCAGCGACCTTTCGGTTACTGGCACAACGCTCTTAACCACTAAGCTACCTGCCGCCCCAGGTAGCTTAGTTGAACGAGAGAGAACACATGAGTGATAAAAAGCAGTTTTATTGCAGGGCTCTACCTGAAAATACATGATGTAAGTGATTGATATTTGGTATTCAACAGTCATAAAAGTATACCTTATTTACTACTAAAATAGTGATTTTGTCATACAGCATAGGCAGCAGCTCTATAGAGATGAGATGATGACTTGGAATGAAATAATAAAGCAATCAAATAAAACAAATATTTTATTAAGGTAAAGTGAATGGTTAATAAGTGATAAGTGGTCCTCTGTAGCTCAGCTGGTAGAGCACGGCGCTTGTAACGCCAAGGTAGTGGGTTCGATCCCCGGGACCACCCATACACAAAAATGTATGCACGAATGACTAAGTCGCTTTGGATAAAAGCGTCTGCTAAATGGCATATTATTATAAGTAATGTGCAGTCACTACCATCATGAGACTTATTTGGATAGTCCATCTGTAAATGATCCATCTGTGTGCAATCTAAGTGTCAAATTATTTGTCACATGATCTCAGTATATATATACACCTGTTCTGAAAGTCCCCAGAGTCTGCAACACCACTAAGCAAGGGGCACCAGCAAGCAATCGGCACCATGAAGACCAAGGAGCTCTCCAAACAGATCAGGGACAAAGTTGGGGAGAAGTACAGATCAGGGTTGGGTTATAAAAAAATATCAGAAACTTTGAACATCCCACGGCGCACCATTAAATCCATTATTAAAAAATTGAAAGAATATGGCACCACAACAAACCTGCCAAGAGAGGGCTGCCCACCAAAACTCACGGACCAGGCATGGAGGGCATTAATTAGAGAGGCAACAAAGAGACCAAAGATAACCCTGAAGGAGCTGCAAAGCTCCACAGCGGAGACTAGGGTATCTGTCCATAGGACCACTTTAAGCCATACACTCCACAGAGCTGGGCTTTACGGAAGGGTGGCCAGAAAAAAGCCATTGCTTAAAGAAAAAAATAAGCAAACATGTTTGGTGTTCGCCAAAAGCCATGTGGGAGACTCCCCAAACATATGGAAGAAGGTACTCTGGTCAGATGAGACTAAAATTTAGCTTTTTGGCCATCAAGGAAAACGCTATGTCTGGCGCAAACCCAACACCTCATCACCCCGAGAACACCTTCCCCACAGTGAAGCATGGTGGTGGCAGCATCATGCTGTGGGGATGTTTTTCCATTGGCAGGGACTGGGAAACTCGTCAGAATTGAAGGAATGACGGATGGCGCTAAATACAGGGAAATTCTTGAGGGAAACCTGTTTCAGTCTTCCAGAGATTTGAGACTGGGACGGAGGTTCACCTCCCAGCAGGACAATGACCCTACGCATACTGCTAAAGCAACACTCGAGTGGTTTAAGGGGAAACATTTAAATGTCTTGGAATGGCCTAGTCAAAGCCCAGACCTCAATCCAATTGAGAATCTGTGGTATGACAAAGATTGTGGTACACCAGCGGAACCCATACAACTTGAAGGAGCTGGAGCAGTTTTGCCTTGAAGAATGGGCAAAAATCCCATTGGCTAGATGTGCCAAGCTTATGGAGACATACCCCAAGAGACTTGCAGCTGTAATTGCTGCAAAAGGTGGCTCTACAAAGTATTGACTTTGGGGGGGTGAATAGGTATGCATGCTCAAGTTCTGTTTTTATGTCTTATTTCTTGTTTGTTTCACAAGAAAAAATATTTTGCATCTTCAAAGTGATAGGCATGTTGTGTAAATCAAATGATATAAATCCCCCAAAAATCAATTTTAATTCCAGGTTGTAAGGCAACAAAATAGGAAAAATGCCAAGGGGGGTGAATACTTTCACAAGCCACTGTATGTGGACACACCTTGAAATTAGTGGATTTGGCTATTTCATCCACAGCCGTTGCTGACCGGTGTATAAAATCGAGCACACCGCCATGCAATCTCCATAGACAAACATTGACAGTAGAATGGCCTTACTGAAGAGCTCAGTGACTTTCAACGTGCCACAGTCATAGGATGCCACCTTTCCAACAAGTCAGTTTGTTAAAGTTCTGTGGAAACGTCTCGGAGCAATTTTTTTAAACACATTTTAGTCAGATTTCACCTAGTCAGCTCGGGGATTCGAACCAATAACCTTTCGGTTACTAGCCCAACCTCTTAACCACCCAGCCCCAGCAACAACGGCTCAGCCGCGAAGTGGTAGGCCACACAAGTTCACAGAACGGGACCGCCGAATGATGAAGCACATAGCACTTAAACATCGTCTGTCTTCAGTTGCAACAATCACTACAGAGTTCCAAACTGCCTCTGGAAGCAACGTCAGCACAAGAACTGTTCGTCGGGAGCTTCATGAAATGGGATTCCATGGCTGAGCAGCCGCACACAAGCCTAAGATCACCATGCGCAATGCCAAGCGTCAGCTGGAGTGGTATAAAGCTCACCGCCATTGGACTCTGGAGCAGGAGAAACACGTTCTCTGGAGTGATGAATCACGCTTCACCATCTGGCAGTCCGACGGACCAATCTGGCTTCCAGGACACTCATTAGCTGGTTTAACAGAGAGTCAGGGTTTTCTTTTCGCCACCCCCCGGACCTGTCCTCTTAACCCTCCAGTTTTGACACCACCTGCCCTCATTTATAAAACCACCCTCACCCAAAATATCCCTCCTGATAAAAACCCTTACCTCACCTAATCTCACGGTCTTTTACCCCTAACTTTTACTCCCGGGAGTAGTACACAGTAATATGCTGCTTCCTGTTCAAACTGCCTGACATTTCTTACTTACTCACTTTTCATATTTCCTTAATAATTTCTGTCATTCAGGAAGAGAGGAAAAAAAGAGCGAGAGACGTGAGAGAGCTTTCAGAAAAAAAAGAAAAAAAATCAAACTAACTAAACTGAAAGTCAGGGTGGCTTATTCATTATTACTGTTAAAAGGACATGGAATGACACGGTCCGCGTGCACTTTCATCAGAGTAGCATAAGTGAAAAGAGTGAGTCGGCTGTAGACAGAGACACACTTAATACATTTTGGCCTAAGAGATCATTAGAATGAGATAAATGGGCACTGACTTCACAGAGAAGTGCAAAGAAATGAAGATTCCAAAAGTAAACTTTAGCATTATGGGGTTTAGCATCTGCGATTGCTACAGCCATTTATGGACTTTAATTATATATAGCCATTGATTTTTTTAAAGAATACAACTTAGGAATGCCTCATGAGCTTATTAGTTCACAGCCTTGCGCCATCAGAAACCAAAATATAAGCTTGTTTTTTAACTTCATTGTTTGTAAACACTGCATTGTTAAATCTATCATTTAAATCTCATGAATGGTCAGTACTTCAAATCAAAATGTCACATGCGCCGAATACAACAGGTGTAGACCTTAGAGTGAAATGCTTAATAACAAGCCCTTAACCAACAATGCAATTTTAAGAAAAAGAAGTGTTAAGTAAAAAAGAGAACTAAAAAATTACAAATAATTAAAGAGCAGCAGTATAATAACAGTATCCATAGCTCTGTCTATGAATTTGAGAGTGGTTACATTTCTCCCGCTCCATCCCTCAGCTGTTTACCAAAACATGTGGCGAGGTAGCGCTTTGTTGTTTTTCCAACAGCAGATTGCCCCTTTAATGCTTCCTGCAATTTGTTGAGCTCAAATGAATGAATTGACAAAGAACTGTTCAGATCGAGATGGAACACCAAAAACAAGGCAAGGAATGCTTCGGCTGTATTTTGAACTTGTTCTATGACTTTCACTTTAAGAAGTACAATTGAGTAATCATACACTGTTGCAGACCCGTTTGAGTGTGTTGTTGAAAGTTCTCCACTAAATCAGTTATATCCAGGGGGGCTTTTCAGCTGTGCATTTTGGGAAAAAAATAAAAAACATGAAACCCCCCCCCCCCCCCCCCAATATATCTAGATTACATAAGTATTCAACCCCCTGAGTCAATTCATGTTAGAATCACCTTTGGCAGCGTGAGTCTTTCTGGGAGTCTTTCTGGGTAAGTCTAAGAGCTTCGCACACCTGGATTGTACAATATTTGCACATTATATATTTTTTCAAGTAGGTTGTTGAACATTGCTAGACAGCCATTTACAAGTCTTGCCATAGATTTTCAAGCTGATTTAAGTCAAAACTGTAACTAGGGCACTCAGGAACATTCTATGTCGTCTTGGTAAGCAACTCCATTTGACCTTTTGTTTTAGGTTATTGTCATGCTGAAAGGTGAATTTGCCTCCCAGTGTCTGTTGGAAAGCAGACTGAACACAGTTTTCCTATAGGATTTTGCCTGTGCTTAGTTCTATTACGTTTATTTTAATCCTAAAAAACTCCCTAGTCCTTTGCGATGACAAGCATACACATAACATAATGCAGCCACCACCATGCTTGAAAATATGAAGAGTGGTACTCAGTGATGTGTTCTGTTGGATTTGCCCCAAACACAACACTTTGTATTGAGTATATACAGTGAGGGAAAAAAGTATTTATTCCCTGCTGATTCTGTACGTTTGCCCACTGACAAAGACATGATCAGTCTATAATTTTAATGGTAGGTTTATTTGAACATTAAAAGCCAGAATAACAACAAAAAAATCCTGAAAAATGCATGTCAAAAATGTTATAAATTGATTTCCATTTTAAATGAGGGAAATAAGTATTTGACCCCTCTGCAAAACATGACTTAGTACTTGGTGGCAAAACCCTTGTTGGCAATCACAGAGGTCAGACATTTCTTGTAGTTGGCCACCAGGTTTGCACACATCTCCGGAGGGATTTTGTCCCACTCCTCTTTGCAGATCTTCTCCAAGTCATTAAGGTTTCGAGGCTGACGTTTGGCAACTCGAACCTTCAGCTCCCTCCACAGATTTTCTATGGGATTAAGGTCTGGAGACTGGCTAGGCCACTCCAGGACCTTAATGTGCTTCTTCTTGAGCCACTCCTTTGTTGCCTTGGCCGTGTGTTTTGGGTCATTGTCATGCTGGAATACCCATCCAAGACCCATTTTCAATGCCCTGGCTGAGGGAAGGAGGTTCTCACCCAAGATTTGACGGTACATGGCCTCGTCCATCGTCCCTTTGATGCGGTGAAGTTGTCCTGTCCCCTTAGCAGAAAAACACCCCCAAAGCATAATGTTTCCACCTCCATGTTTGACGGTGGGGATGGTGTTCTTGGGGTCATAGGCAGCATTCCTCCTCCTCCAAACACGGCGAGTTGAGTTGATGGCAAAGAGCTCGATTTTGGTCTCATCTGACCACAACACTTCATGGTTCCTTCTATTAAGGCAAGTCGTCCAGGTCCTGAGGCAGCAGAGCATTCCCAAATCATCACACTACCACCACCATGCTTGACCGTTGGTATGAGGTGCTTACTGTGGAATGCAGTGTTTGGTTTCGCCAGACATAATGTGACCCATCTCGTCCAAAAAGTTGACTCAAGTTTGCCAAAAGTCACCTGGAAGCACCTGGATGATCATCAAGACTCTTGTAAGAAATTTCTATGAACAGATGAGTCAAAAGTATAACTTTTTGGACGACATGGTTCCAGTAATGCCTGGCGAAAACCAAACTCTGCATTCCACAGTAAGAACATCATACCAAAAGGTCAAGCATGGTGGTGGTGGTGTGATGGTTTGGGAATGCTCTGCTGCCTCAGGACCTGGACGACTTGCCTTAATAGAAGGAACCATGAATTCTGCTCTGTATCAGAGAATTCTACAGGAGAATGTCAGACCATCCGTCTGTGAGCTGAAGCTGAAGCGCAGCTGGGTCATGCAGCAAGACAATGATCCAAAACACACAATCAAGTCTACATGAAAATTGCTAAAAAGCAACAAATTGGAAGTTTTGGAATGGCCTAGTCAAAGTCCAGACCTAATCCCAATTGAGATGTTGTGGCAGGACTTAAAACGAGCAGTTCATGCTAGAAAACCCACACGTCACTGAGTTGAAGCAGTTCTGCATGGAAGAGTGGGCCAAAATTCCTCCACAGCGACGTGAGAGACTGATCAACAACTACAGGAAGCATTTGGTTGGAGTCATTGCAGCTAAAGGTGGCACAACCAGTTATTGAGTGTAAGGGGGCAATTACTTTTTCACACAGGGGAATTGAGTGTTGCATAACTTTGTTTATGAAATAAATATGTAATTGTTGTGTTATTTGTTCACGTATGGTCCCTTTATCTAATATTAGGTTTTGGATGAAGATCTAATAACATTCAGTATCACAAATATGCAAAAGTAGAGAAAATTAGAATGGGGGCAAATACATACAGTGCTATGAAAAAGTATTTGCCCCCTTTCTAATTTTCTCTACTTTTGCATATTTGTGATACTGAATGTTATTAGATCTTCAACCAAAACCTAATATTAGATAAAGGGAACATACAGTGCTATGAAAAAGTATGTATGTATACACACACACACACACACACACACACACACTGTACCAGTCAAAAGTTTGGACACACCAACTTATTCAAGGGTTTTTCTTTATTTTGACTATTTTCTACATTGTAGTAAGGGCTATTTCACCAAGAAGGAGAGTGATGGAGTGCTGCATCAGATGACCTGGCCTCCACAATCACCCGACCTCAACCCAATTGAGATGGTTTGGGAGGAGTTGGACCGCAGAGTGAAGGAAAGCAGCCAACAAGTGGTCAGCATATGTGGGAACTCAGCAAAGGGTGGCTACTTTGAAGAATCTCAAATATAAAATATATTTTGATTTGTTTTACACTTTTGGGTTACTACATGATTCCATATGTGTTAATTCATAGTTTTGATGTCTTTATTATTATTCTACAATGTAAAAAAAAAAAATAACAAATAAAGAAAAACCCTTGAATGAGTAAGTGTGTCCAAACTTTTGACTGGTAGAGTACACACACTATATATTTTAACTGCAAATGCCATCCACAGGAGGACTCAGTAGCCCGCTGTCAATGAGTGTAGGCCGGCTGCTAATCGTCAGATGGGGGGAGGAGAGGAGGTAGGGAGTCCATATGGGTAACTGGGGGGGCCCTGCCTTGATTGGGTAACTGATTAATAAAAAAACAATTCATAAACTTCATAATAAATCAATGTTACTTGTCAATTGTGTGAGTCAGGGACTGGGCCCAAACCTGTAGGGGGCCCAAGAGGCAACAAATACTAAAAATAACACATATATACACACATAATTAATATATATATATATATATATATATATATATATATATATATATATATATATATATATATATATATATATATATATATATATAAAATATTATTACTTTTTTTTTTTCATCCAACCGCAGGAGCCCGCTCTCAATGTTCAAAATACACCAGAGAGCATAATTTAGCGACAGAGGATCAATAGTTTCAAAAACATAACGTTTTATCACAAGCACATACAGGAAACTGCCAAAATAAGGTGGTCTTAAAAGGGTTTGGGCTGCCAGAACAGCTTCAATGCATCTTGGCATAGATTCTACAAATGGACCTAAACCATGCCAGGAAAATGCACCCCACACTATTACATATATTTTGTATCCCTCATTTACTCAAGTGTTTCCTTTATTTTCGCAGTTATCGGTATGCTAATAGTCAGAAAGGCCGCAGTTTGGGCAGAATGCACACCAAATATAAGTTACAGCTTGTTGCGTTCTGGCCATAGACATAATCCATAGAAAGGTTTTGTAACCTCTTACCCTGGCAATTTGACTGTTCAACTCATGGGTACACTATCAATGGATGCCAGTCCTGACTTGAATGGGACAGAACATGCAACAATTTAAGATTTTACTGAGTTACAGTTCATATAAGGAAATCGGTCAATTTAAATAAATTCATTAGGCCCGAATCTATGGATTTCAAATGACTGGGAATACAGATATGCATCTGTTAGTCACAGAAACCTTTTTTAAAAATAGGGGCGTGGATCATGAAACCAGTTAGTATCTGGTGTGACCACCATTTGCCTCATGCAGCGCGACACATTTTCTTCGCATAGAGTTGATCAGGCTGTTGATTGTGGCCTGTGGAATGTTGTACCACTCCTCTTCAATGGCTGTGCGAAGTTGCTGGATATTGTCAGGAACACGCTGTAGTACACGTTGATCCAGAGCATCCCAAACATGCTCAATGGGTGACATGTCTGGTGAGTATGCAGGCCATGGAAGAACTGGGACATTTTCAGCTTCCAGGAATTGTGTACAGATCCTTGCGACATGGGGGCATGCATTATCATGCTGAAACATGAGGTGATGGCGGCGGATGAATGGCACGACAATGTCCCTCAAGATCTCGTCACGGTATCTCTGTGCATTCAAATTCCCATTGATAAAATGCAATTGTGTTCGTTGTCTGTAGCTTATGCCTGCCCATACCATAACCCCACTGCCACCATGGGGCACTCTGTTCACATCAGCAAACCGTCTGCCATCTGCCCGGTTCAGTTGAAACCGGGATTGATTCGTGAAGAGCACACTTCTCCAGCATGCCCGTGGCCATCGAAGGTGAGCATTTGCCCACTGAAGTCAGTTACGACGCCAAACTGCAATCAGGTCAAGACCCTGGTGAGGACAACGAGCATATACCTAATACACAGTGGTGGAAAAAGTACCCAATTGTCATACTTGAGTAAAAGTAAAGATACCTTAAAAGAAAATGAAGTAAAAGTCACCCAGTAAAATACTACTTGAGTAAAAGTCTAAAAGTATCAAAAGTAAATGTAATTGCTAAAATATACATAGGTATCAAAAGTAAAAGTAAATGTATAAATAATTTCAAATTCCTTATATTAGGCAAACCAGACGGCACCATTTTCTTGTTTTTTTTAAATTTACGGATAGCCAGGGGCACACTCCAACACTCAAACAAAGCAATTATGTTTAGTGAGTCAGCCAGATCAGAGGCAGTAGGGATGACCAGGGATGTTCTCCATTTTCCTGTCCTGCTAAGCATTCAAAATTTAATGAGTACTTTAGGATGTCAGGGAAAATGTATAAAGTAAAAAGTACATTCTTTTCTTTAGGAATGTAGTGAAGTAAAAGTTGTCAAATATATAAATAGTAAAGTATAGTACAGAAACCACAAAAAACGACTTAAGTAGTACTTTAAAGTATTTCTACTTAAGTACTTTACACCACCGCTAATACGTGAAGCAGAACGCACCATTGGGTGCACACTGCCTGCCCTACAGGACACCTACAACACCAGGTGTCGCAGGAAGGCCAAGAAGATCATCAGGGACCCCAGCAACCCAAGCCATGGCCTGTTCTCCCTGCTTCAATCACTCAGACGCGGGCAGTACAGGAGCATCATGGCAAAAACTATCAGACTGGCCAATAGCTTCTACCCTCAGACCATCAGGCTGCTGAATAGTCACCACTAGTCAGCTACCTACTCCCCCTAGAGACATTTCCCCCCTGCTACTCCCCCTATGGACACCACCACCCCCAACGATCACTTACATGCTACTCCCCCAATGGTCATTCCCCCACACCCCCTGAACAGTCTTTACTCTGCCTCCACCCCGATGGACATGTATTTATTCATCACTGCCACAGTTATTGTGTACATAGTGGTATTTATATTGTTGTTGTTTTTTATTAAAATGTTCATTATTTTATTTCACTTAATCCTGCATCCTACATTTTTCACTGTACCCTGCAATCACACCTGCAACCCTGTACATGTGACTATTAAACACTGAATCTGAGCTTCCCTGAGACGGTTTCTGATAGTTTGTGCACACCCACAGTTTCATCAACTGTCCGGGTGGCTGGTCTTAGACGATCCCACAGGTGAAGAAGGCAGATGTGGAGGTCCTGGGCTGGTGTGATTACACATGGTATGCGGTTGTGAGGCCGGTTGGACGTACTGCCAAATTCTCTAAAATGACGTTGGCTAATGGTAGAGAAATTAACATTCCATTTTCTGGCAACAGCTCTGGTGAACATTCAGTCAGCATGCCAATTGCACTCTCCTTAAAAACATGAGACATCTGTGGCATTGTGTTGTGTGACAAAACTGCACATTTTAGAGTGGCCTTTCATTGTCCCCAGCACAAGGTGCACCTGTGTAATGATCATGCTGTTTAATCAGCTTCTCAATATTCCACACCTGTCAGGTGGATGGATTATCTTGGCAAAGGAGAAATGCTCACCAACAGGGATTTGACACAATTTGAGAGAAATAAGCTTTTTGTACGTATGGACAATTTCTGGGATATTTTATTTCAGCTCATAAAACATGGGACCAACACTTTACTTTTTACATTTACATTTTAGTCATTTAGCAGAAGCTCTTATCCAGAGCGACTTACAGTTAGTGAGTGCATACATTTTCATACATTTACATGTTGCATTTATATTTTTGTTCAGGGTATATACTTTTTATATATTGCCTCCTAATATTGTACAATCTGTGTGTCGCTTCATTGGCTTGGGCTATTGTTTGTTTGAATTCAAGACCAGAATTCAAAACACTTATAAAAAATGTAGCCACCTATAAAAAAATAATAAAAAAAAGCCCCGGAGCCTATGATTTCTTCATCCGTCCCTGGTTTCACTCTCGCCAAAATACGTCCAATGAGTTTCTATGGGCTTATTTTGGAACTAAACTTGTCGCCTGCCTTTCCGCCTTTTAGGACAACGACTCCCATTGTTAGTGCGGAGACATAAGCATCTTGTCATTATATAGGCCTAGCCTACAGATCTCTGGTTGCAGTTACATTTCTTTACACGGAGGGAGCGCGAGCATGATGCTCGTGAATTTGCACGTCCCATGTAATGTAAGTGGTAACGATGAGTCGAAATCCACGATTTAGCCTAATTATTGTTGTTTTCTGACACATTCATTTATTTTATTTAGCGTGTTTCACATACAGCCATGTGGAGTTCTGGTGCATAGTAGGCCTAGGCTATTTACTGTGTGTTGATTGACAACTGAACAGCAAGTGTTGACTCGTTTATAAAAGGTGTGGAACTGACTGAATAAAGTCGATCTCCTATATGCCTTTGCCATTCATAAATCATGCAACGTGGTTATACAGTGGGGAAAAAAAGTATTTAGTCAGCCACCAATTGTGCAAGTTCTCCCACTTAAAAAGATGAGAGAGGCCTGTAATTTTCATCATAGGTACACGTCAACTATGACAGACAAAATGAGGAAAAAAAATCCAGAAAATCACATTGTAGGATTTTTAATGAATTCATTCGCAAATTATGGTGGAAAATAAGTATTTGGTCAATAACAAAAGTTTCTCAATACTTTGTTATATACCCTTTGTTGGCAATGACACAGGTCAAACGTTTTCTGTAAGTCTTCACAAGGTTTTCACACACTGTTGCTGGTATTTTGGCCCATTCCTCCATGCAGATCTCCTCTAGAGCAGTGATGTTTTGGGGCTGTCGCTGGGCAACACAGACTTTCAACTCCCTCCAAAGATTTTCTATGGGGTTGAGATCTGGAGACTGGCTAGGCCACTCCAGGACCTTGAAATGCTTCTTACGAAGCCACTCCTTCGTTGCCCGGGCGGTGTGTTTGGGATCATTGTCATGCTGAAAGACCCAGCCACGTTTCATCTTCAATGCCCTTGCTGATGGAAGGAGGTTTTCACTCAAAAGCTCACGATACATGGCCCCATTCATTCTTTCCTTTACACGGATCAGTCGTCCTGGTCCCTTTGCAGAAAAACAGCCCCAAAGCATGATGTTTCCACCCCCATGCTTCACAGTAGGTATGGTGTTCTTTGGATGCAACTCAGCATTCTTTGTCCTCCAAACATGACGAGTTGAGTTTTGACCAAAAAGTTCTATTTTGGTTTCATCTGACCATATGACATTCTCCCAATCCTCTTCTGGATCATCCAAATGCACTCTAGCAAACTTCAGACGGGCCTGGACATGTACTGGCTTAAGCAGGGGGACACGTCTGGCACTGCAGGATTGAGTCCCTGGCGGCGTATTGTGTTACTGATGGTAGGCTTTGTTACTTTGGTCCCAGCTCTCTGCAGGTCATTCACTAGGTCCCCCCGCGTGGTTCTGGGATTTTTGCTCACCGTTCTTGTGATCATTTTGACCCCACGGGGTGAGATCTTGCGTGGAGCCCCAGATCAAGGGAGATTATCAGTGGTCTTGTATGTCTTCCATTTCCTAATAATTGCTCCCACAGTTGATTTCTTCAAACCAAGCTGCTTACCTATTGCAGATTCAGTCTTCCCAGCCTGGTGCAGGTCTACAATTTTGTTTCTGGTGTCCTTTGACAGCTCTTTGGTCTTGGCCATAGTGGAGTTTGGAGTGTGACTGTTTGAGGTTGTGGACAGGTGTCTTTTATACTGATAACAAGTTCAAACAGGTGCCATTAATACAGGTAACGAGTGGAGGACAGAGGAGCCTCTTAAAGAAGAAGTTACAGGTCTGTGAGAGCCAGAAATCTTGCTTGTTTGTAGGTGACCAAATACTTATTTTCCAGCATAATTTGCAAATAAATTCATTAAAAATCCTACAAATGTCATTTTCTGGATTTTTTTTCTCAATTTGTCTGTCATAGTTGACGTGTACCTATGATGAAAATTACAGGCCTCTCTCATCTTTTTAAGTGGGAGAACTTGCACAATTGGTGGCTGACTAAATACTTTTTTCCCCCACTGTATGTCCATGGTATCACATCGGGACAAGTAATCCAAAGGATATTCTAGGTTTCCTTTCGATGTCGGGGCTTGCCAGTCAGTGACTCTAAAGTGAGTGACTCTCATCAGTGATAGCCTACCGAATCGCATCTGTGAGAGAGATGTTTATTTGGCTCCCTAATTTGCATATTCTACTGGTAGGCCTAGGCTTATTGGTGATTATCTGCAGATAAATTATGAAAATAAATCAGATGAAGAAGGAGAATCTTCACTGTAGGAACAATAGGTAGTGGAGAGCCTAATGCTGCTCCAAATATGATAATTGGGGCCCTTTCAGAATCCATGCATGAAAATGGAATTCTACAACAACAACAACAAAAATGTATTGACCTTAGTAGGGAATCAACCCAAGTTTAGCCTAACATAAGACATGAACAGAATGCATCAGTGATTTGCATTTCCTGCAACTTTCTGAAGAGGCAACAAGAATGCCCCTGTCTCTGTGTGTGTGTGGTGCGTGGGTCTACCACTTTGCGTAACTGTTAGCGATGATGCTAATGAAAACAGTCTTCTGGTAGGCCTAGATGGAAAGGCTTTCCCAAAAACCTTCAATTAAATGTTAACTTCAAAGTTGCCTATGCTTACCTGGCAGAATGGTATCATGATTATTTTCATCAATCCAATGCGCATTTGTTTTTCAAACTCTACCATCACATGTGCACTACAAAAACACTGCTAAACATCAGCCTCTTGCTATGTGTGCACTTGAATTAAAAAGGGTAACTACACCCAAAAATCAATTTCTCAGATTGTTCCCAGAATTCATGGGGTCTCCTCATGTGGTTTAAGCATTGTTGTGGACTTAAAACATGCAATGTTGTTGTTGTTTTTCTATTTTAAAAAAGTGTGCTCTAAATGCGAAAATAAACTATGGGAAAAACTGCCCCCCCAAAAAATGTATTTGTTATTTTTCAAGATAGTGTGGGCTATTTACTTACTTTTTCTGTTTGAATAAAATACATACATTTGAAGATCAAACATCACTATGGCATTTCATATATTGCAGTAAAATTGTAAATAAGACTTTAATCTCAAGAGAAGATAGGTTAAAATGTAAAAAAAGTTTAATGCCCTCTTAGAAAATAGTCCTGATCATATAGACCTAGACAATATCCAAAACAACTCACAATACACTGAATTCATACATTTTCAGTTATTTAAATTGTAAAGTCATGTCTTTCTATACAATAACACAACACATTTTTCTAATCTGGGAGGTAAACTCGATAAAGTATTCAATAATTTCACTGTGTATTTCAGATGGAATCAAGGCATTTGAATGTACCAGAAGCCACCAAAAGAGCTCCTTCTGCAAATATTTTGAACCCCGGCCGGGGGCGCCTGGCTGGCTTCTTTTTCTATTTGGCTGTCTAGTCTATGTACTTGTGGAAAACACTGAGCCTGCTGCTGTATTTAGCAGGAAATCCTGAGTACCGCAGAGGAAACTGACCATTGGGACAGGGAATATAACCGATGACAATCTCCTCTGTGGACAGAAGTAATAATGACATTCCTGGTGTACAGTATATTTGACAGATGTGTCACTGCTAAACCACATTCTAAGGGCCTTCAAAGGCCTTCAATAGCCATTAATGTGCCATTCTTGCCCCACACTCAATTGGTAAAACGGACTTTCTATTCTCCTGTCAAAACCACAGCTGGATCACAGAGTGGTTTGTCATACACTGTATTTAGGGCCAGGAGTTTTTCTTGATCATGGTCAGGAAAACCTCCTGAGCTAGTCATACTGTATGACTGAAGCTCCTACATGTTGTGTCCATGTGGCTTGTCACATTAATATCAAGGGAAAAGAATGATGACAGTCATTGTTAATGACAGGGTCCAGGACAATTGACAGGAGCTTATTAATATCATTTACACTTTGCTACATAAAAGTCGTGATTAAAATAATAATTAGAAAAAGAGACTAAAACACCTCAATGTTTTAACTAAAATAGTTTCTTTTCAAATTGTTTTTTTCTGATCAAGCCCCTCTACATATTTATCATCATCAATAAATAAATCACAACTTCTATAGGGACAGACCGAGAAAGACGGGCAGAATCAAAGCGTGACCCTCTCTCTCTGCTTTATTGGCATAAACAAGGGAAATAAATAATCAGAAATGAACAGTAAACATTACACTCACAAAAGTGTTATATTATTGGCTATGTACAGTGTTGTAACACATGTGCAAATAGTTGAAGTATGAAAGGGAAAAAATAAACAATAAAACGTTGTATTTACGATGGTGTTCGTGCTCCACTGGTCAACTCTATTACAATTGGCGCCATAGAGGACAAGATATTGTGTGATCAAAGAGTTACTAGTGACCCCCTCGATCTTACAGTCATGTTGACCATCAGGGTCACACCATAATAACGCAGGAAATGATATAACACAGTGATTACATTGCTACTGGAGTCAGTGGAGTAAAACATGCAACAGGTGTTGCTCTGCTTTTAGACAATTTTTCCCCCCAATGAGGACTAAAATAGAAAACTTTCTCCATCAATAAATGAATAGAATTTCCCCCTGCTGACTAAATAAGCTACAAAATCCAAGTTCATTGAAACGTTTGTTTCTCACTGGACCCACAAAGCAAATGACAAGAGGAAATGGAGGGGCAACCAGGAAAAACAAAGGGCTTGAGAGAGGGTGAGGAGTGGATTACCAACTGGCTCAGAAAACCTGTACTAACCCTCCACCCCAACTCTGGTCTATTGATATCTGGGTGAAAGGCTGGCTGATATGCCAGCTCAAATCTCCTGTGCACTCACAACACACAAAGGGCAGGCCTGTTCTATGGGCCAGGCAAAGACCATGGGGGAAAGTGGGGCACAGAGAGCGAGCCAGAGAGAAGAGAGATCGAAAGGAGAGAGAGATAGCCTTAATGACATTTGAAATGTCTCTATTCCTTTGGAACTTTTATGAGTGTAATTTTTACTGTTCATTTTTTATATTATCTATTTCACTTGCTTTGGCAATGTAAACATGTTTCCCATGCCAATAAAGCCCTTTGAATTGAGAGAGAGAGAGAGAGAGAGAGAAATAAAGAGGGAAACCAGCAAAGAGAGTCAGAAATCCAGTAGCTAACTAAAGAAAAAGTGATTGCCAGCCGAACAGCTATAGATAGACTGAAATGAGACCACACACTCTTGTATCACAGCCTCACTGGCCTGCCACTGCCATGATGTAATCGCTTAATCAGATCATGGTTTGATTAATAATTAATTAATTAATTATGGGTTTGTCCACTTTCATGACACTGTATACAGAACTTCTGATTTGATTAATCAATATTTCCCCTACACATTTATTTAATTACTTATTAATTCAAACTGCTGTTTCACAAGATCATTCTGAAGTTTCGAAAATACACCCAATGCTTTTACATACATTAACAACAGGTTTATAAAGAGGCAAACACTTTTGGTCTTTTGCTAGTATGGTATTAATTTCAGGGGGAAATAAGGTCTACACCACATTTACATAGAATAAGTGTTTAATTTGTCCAAAATATGTGTAATTTTACAAGCCACATACTTGAAGACTCGAAGCTTGAGTTAGTTTCTGCTAACAAGTGTGAAAAGAATCAGGGTGACCCGATATCCTATCCCCCACACCCCGCCCTGCTCTACCCAGCAGTCCTAGTCTGCCTTGGGAAAGCCTGACTGCTTTCACAGGTCAACAGTCCAGATTACCTCTCAGTAACATCAATTAAACACCATCAGAACACTGCCATCATAAGTTTCAAGGCACATTAACCCACTGTTGACACAAATGGACAGCTAAGAGAGGCTGAGTTAGTGGGAACCCCAGGCTCAAAGTCCTAACCCGGTCCCCTGACCCCTGCAGGGGTGGAGGTGAGCACTGCTGGTATACATAGCCCTCACAATCTGCCCTGACCTTCAGCTGCTTGCTAAAAACAGCCTTGCCTGTCAGCAGCCCCCGTCACTGGCTCTCATACCACAGGCCTGGGTGGGGGGGGGGGGGGGGTGCTGGAATGCAGAGGCCTGTGAGACCAGGGCTAATTTAACAGCCACGTTATCAGACTGAGTCAGCAGCCTACTGACTGCTCAGGACCTCAATCTTCAATCTGCTACTGTGTGTGTGTGTGTGTGTGTGTGTGTGTGTGTGTGTGTGTGTGTGTGTGTGTGTGTGTGTGTGTGTGTGTGTGTGGGGGGGGGGGGGGGGGGTAACACGGCACCAATGTATACTATAGACCATGTACTATGGTAGTGAGATGTACTGGACATAGGCCCCTTGCTAATAGTTGTTACTGTGTACACTACTCTGCATTATAGGTTACATCTTTATTTAGAGTTGCAGCAAGCTTGATTGATAGGAAGAGGGAATTTAACTGGGGAGGACGATACCGCCCATAAAACTATACTTAAAGCCCCTTATTTCCGTATGGATTCGGAGAAGTCGGAGGAATTCAGACCGCACAGTCAATTGAAAGGATACAAACTGCATCAAGCAGACCTTGTTAAATCCTGGGGGCAAGGGGAGAAGATTATCTAATGTACACCAGATGGGTTTAGAGGGTGAGCCTTGTCTGCTGGTTCTAAGACAGGTACAGTTTTCAAGTCTGTCGTGTATCACACTGATATGTCAAATCTACAAGGCCGACGCTCTACAAGGTTTACAACTCAGCGGTCCAAGGGTAAAACAGACAGGCAATATCTAGTAGAATAGCATTATAAACATGATGTACTTCACCTTCACACAAGGTTGCATTTAGCCTACGTTATGATAATTAGACGTGTTTATTGATGGATGATGTAATGTATTTACTGATTTGAATAAATGAATCAGCTCGTTAAATCCATCTCGTCACAGACAGGGTCACATACCCAACCTGAGGATCAGTGTATGAGGCAATGACTCAAAAGTTTGAAAGCATGGCCCCATTTCCCCTCAGTCTCAGGCCGACACTCAAACAGAAAGAACATAATCACCCGTATCCACTCAAGGGGATTTGTGTTCATCTGTCAATAGCAAATCTCACAGCCAGACCAAAGGCCGTAAGGAATTACCACTTTACCGCTACATACTAGAGCCAAGAAGTGTTGACTAAAAAACTGTCACACAAGCCCTCCTGTGTTGGATAACCAGCCCTCCCCTCGTAAAGTAAGACGACACTCAACTCAACAACTTAGGCCACTGCCCTGGGGAGGAGAGGAGACACATTTTAATAGCAGCATGACACGGCTGAGGCCACAAACTGCAAACGGAATTTCCTTAAAGGATTATTACAGATCAGATTACAGCCCATTGTAAAACTTGATCTTCTGAGGCTATATGGGAGGGCAGTTGAAGGAGCTCAAATAAATGCAATTTTTTTTTTAATCACTTTCCTGAATCCCATAAACTTCTTGATAACATGAATTGTTGCGAGCCAAGGTGTCCTAACAGGCAAGGCAGAATAGAAAGGACCATATCACAACCAGCTGTCATGCATGTGGCAGTCAATACAGTGCTATTCTCCTTACTGGACTCCAGAGGTTTGCTAGGTACACATTTTGTATTCAGAGTTGGTGGATCTCCTTGCTGACATTTCCCTCGGACATCTTATGAAGGCCATAGTAGTTTATAATGGCAGTCCAATATTAAAAGGAAATGTCACAGTGCTCCCTCATAAATATGGGCAGTTTATAAACCAATAAATGGTGACGCACACATCCGAAGAACCTTGAGATCAGTCGGTTTTTTGAGGACGACAGACAGCAGCTGATTTTTCTCACATAAAGAAGCCAAGTCACATGCAAGACAGCCAGGACGGACTTTGGAATGTGGATAAATTAAGTGCCCCTACTTGAAAACGGAGGAAATATTTTTTGAAAGGCCTCTCCTCCAACAAGATTTATTTTCATCCCAAACTCACAGTCTGCTGCTTGATATTACAGCAGGGTTTCAAGTTCATGCTTTCCATATGCTATCTGCTTTAGCATCACTCCTGGTTTCACCTCCACATAATCCCACATAAATATATTTCAAAGTCTACACCAGGGGTGTCAAATTCACGGCCCGGGGGCTCCAATCTGGCCTGCGGGTGGTTTGAGTACTTATTTTGTAATTAATTGAAACTGTGTAGAAATGATAATGGACCTATATTCATAAAGTTTCTTGATTGTCCAGCTCGCTAATAATCATTAGACAGTCAGGGAGCATCAACAATTCCAAAAACGATAGATAGAGGGCTATGTTTGGTATATTTTGATGGCAAGGAACCTCATTGAAGACCGAATGCATCCCCTGGGGCAAACTGAGTTCGACACCCCTGGTCTACATGGTTGTTATCGCCTCTATGAGACAGGGGCCATTGTCTAATGTAGATATCTACAATTCCAGGGGTATCAATGAATTGTAAACATTTCACTTGAAACAAACCACCGGGGTTGACTTGTTCCATTGCTGTACATGGTATCTTAGGCAACAGACTGAGCTCAATTGCTTTATACTTGAGCCAATAATCATTTCACAGGCGAAGGTGAATGAACCTAATTAATATCTTACACAAGCCCATACATACATGTACAGAACCTGTCAAAAGTTTGGACACAGCCTCTCATTCAAAGGTTTTTCTTTATTTTTAATATTTTCTACATTTTAGAATAATAGTGAAAGACATCAAAACTATGAAATAACAAATATGGAATCATGTAGTAACCAAAAAAGTGTTAAACAAATTCTTCAAATAGCCACCCTTTGCCTTTATGACAGCTTTGCACAATCTTGGCATTCTCTCAACCAGCTTCACCTGGAATGCTTGTCCAACAGTCTTGAAGGAGTTCCCACACACAGTTAAAGTCCGAAGTTTACATACACTTAGGTTGGAGTCATGAAAACTCGTTTTCTCAATCACTCCACAAATGTATTGTTAAACTATAGTTTTGGCAAGTCGGTTAGGACATCTACTTTGTGCATGACACAAGTAATTTTTCCAACAATTATTTACAGACAGATTATTTCACTTCTAATTCACTGTTTCACAATTCCAGTGGGTCAGAAGTTTACATACACTAAGTTGACTGTGCCTTTAAACAGCTTGGAAAATTCCAGAAAATGATGTCATGGCTTTAGGAGCTTCTGATAGGCTAATTGACATAATTTGAGTCAATTGGAGGTGTACCTGTGGATGTATTTCAAGGCCTACCTTCAAACTCAGTGCCTCTTTGCTTGACATCATGGGAAAATCTAAAGAAATCAGCCAAGACCTCAGAAAGAAAATTGTTGACCTCCACAAGTCTGGTTCATCCTTGGGAGCAATTTCCAAACGCCTGAAAGTACCACGTTCATCTGTACAAACAATAGTACGCAAGTATAAACACCATGGGACCACACAGCCGTCATACCGCTCAGGAAGGAGACGCGTTCTGTCTCCTAGAGATGAATGTACTTTGGTGCGAAAAGTGCAAATCAATCCCAGAACAACAGCAAAGGACCTTGTGAAGATGCTGGAGGAAACAGGTACAAAAGTATCTATATCCACAGTAAAACTAGTCCTATATCGACATAACCTGAAAGGCCGCTCAGCAAGGAAGAAGCCACTGCTCCAAAACCGCCATAAAAAAGCCAGACTACGGTTTGCTACTGCACATGGGGACAAAGATCGTACTTCTTGGAGAAATGTCCTCTGGTCTGATGAAACACAAATAGAACTGTTTGGCCATAATGACCATCGTTATGTTTGGAGGAAAAAGGGGGTTGCTTGCAAGCCGAAGAACACCATCCCAACCGTGAAGCAAGGGGTGGCAGCATCATGCTGTGGGGGTGCTTTGCTGCAGGAGGGACTGGTGCACTTCACAAAATAGATGGCATCATAAGGAAGGAAACTTATGTGGACATATTGAAGCAACATCTCAAGACATCAGTCAGGAAGTTAAAGCTTGGTCGCAAATGGGTCTTCCAAATGGACAATGACCCCAAGCATACTTCCAAAGTTGTGGCAAAATGGCTTAAGGACAACAAAGTCAAGTTATTGGAGTGGCCATCACAAAGCCCTGACCTGAATCCTACTTCCAAAGTTGTGGGCAAAACTGAAAAAGCGTGTGTGAGCAAGGAGGCCCAGAAACCTGACTCAGTTACACCAGCTCTGTTAGGAGGAATGGGCCAAAATTCACCCAACTTATTGTGGGAAGCTTGTGGAAGGCTACCCGAAACAATTGACCCAAGTTAAACAATTTAAAGGCAATGCTACCAAATACTAATTGAGTGTATAAAGTTAGAGAGATCTCTTAAAACCTGTTGCAGTATACCCAAAGCCAGACCTATAGCCTTAAGACTCCGGAACACTTGCGACTTAAGTATTTGTCAAACGTCCCGCTTTGGGCTGGATGTGTCAATGTGTGGTAATACATGCATAATATATGAGCACAATTACTGTCTCCCTAAATTAGCCACAAAACCCCTAGTTTTAAAGCAACTGTTTCTCTGGATGCTGTGCTGCGCCATTTTCCCTCAATTTTCCCCCCCTACGTGGGCCAGCCCCCTAGCCATTAGAGTTCAACCAATGAGCTTCAGCCCCTCGCCATATACAGTGGGGAGAACAAGTATTTGATACACTGCCGATTTTGCAGGTTTTCCTACTTACAAAGCATGTAGAGGTCTGTAATTTTTATCATAGTTACACTTCAACTGTGAGAGACGGAATCTAAAACAAAAATCCAGAAAATCACATTGTATGATTTTTAAGTAATTCATTTGCATTTTATTGCATGACATAAGTATTTGATACATCAGAAAAGCAGAACCTAATATTTGGTACAGAAACCTTTGTTTGCAATTACAGAGATCATACGTTTCCTGTAGGTCTTGACCAGGTTTGCACACACTGCAGCAGGGATTTTGGCCCACTCCTCCATACAGACCTTCTCCAGATCCTTCAGGTTTCGGGGCTGTCGCTGGGCAATACGGACTTTCAGCTCCCTACAAAGATTTTCTATTGGGTTCAGGTCTGGAGACTGGCTAGGCCACTCCAGGACCTTGAGATGCTTCTTCCGGAGCCACTCCTTAGTTGCCCTGGCTGTGCGTTTCGGGTCGTTGTCATGCTGGAAGACCCAGCCACGACCCATCTTCAATGCTCTTACTGAGGGAAGGGGGGTTGTTGGCCAAGATCTCGCGATACATGGCCCCATCCATCCTCCCCTCATTACGGTGCAGTCGTCCTGTCCCCTTTGCAGAAAAGCATCCCCAAAGAATGATGTTTCCACCTCCATGCTTCACGGTTGGGATGGTGTTCTTGGGGTTGTACTCATCCTTCTTCTTCCTCCAAACACGGCGAGTGGAGTTTAGACCAAAAAGCTCTATTTTTGTCTCATCAGACCAAATGACCTTCTCCTATTCCTCCTCTGGATCATCCAGATGGTCATTGGCAAACTTCAGACGGGCCTGGACATGCGCTGGCTTGAGCAGGGGGACCTTGCGTGCGCTGCAGGATTTTAATCCATGACGGCGTAGTGTGTTATTAATGGTTTTCTTTGAGACTGTGGTCCCAGCTCTCTTCAGGTCATTGACCAGGTCCTGCCGTGTAGCTCTGGGCTGATCCCTCACCTTCCTCATGATCATTGATGCCCCACGAGGTGAGATCTTGCATGGAGCCCCAGACCGAGGGTGACTGACCGTCATCTTGAACTTCTTTCATTTTCTAATAATTGCGCCAACAGTTGTAGCCTTCTCACCAAGCTGCTTACCTATTGTCCTGTAGCCCATCCCAGCCTTGTGCAGGTCTACAATTTTATCCCTGATGTCCTTACACAGCTCTCTGGTCTTGGCCATTGTGGAGAGGTTGGAGTTTGTTTCATTGAGTGTGTGGACAGGTGTCTTTTATACAGGTAACGAGTTCAAACAGGTGCAGTTAATACAGATAATGAGTGGAGAACAGGAGGGCTTCTTAAAGAAAAACTAACAGGTCTGTGAGAGCCGGAATTCTTACTGGTTGGTAGGTGATCAAATACTTATGTCATGCAATAAAATGCAAATTAATTACTTAAAAATCATACAATGTGTTTTTCTGGATTTTTGTTTTAGATTCCGTCTCTCACAGTTGAAGTGTACCTATGATAAAAATTGCAGACCTCTACATGCTTTGTAAGTAGGAAAACCTGCAAAATCGGCAGTGTATCAAATACTTGTTCTCCCCACTGTAAGTGACAGCTAGCAAGATGCACATGATTCATCCATAGCAGAGCGAAAGAGAGCAATGACGTGGTGCACATATCTGCACATATGCGACATAGTACGCAATTTTCGGGGACCACTTTTGGCTCGTGAGCGCTACTTTCAGAACTACTGGCTAAAAAGTATACAAAAGTACCGGAGAATCCCTTTAACTATCATAATGTTTCAGATTTAGCAGCAGATTTTTTAAAATCTCAGTCACTTGAGATGTACTGTACACAGAGCACCTTACAACACTTCTTTTTACAGCCATAATCCAGCCTTGTCCCTGGGGATCTGTCTCACAGTGCTAGATCTTATGTAGCTAGCTATTTCACAGATATACTGTAACATGACATGGGTAATTGGAACCACCACAGTAGCCGTGCAGTATGTGTGTACAGGGCTGAGGTTGTGCAGTCCAGGCCGTCACATGTGAGTGACACAAGCAGCAGCTTGGTCATCAGCAATTTAACAACCCAACCCAATCCCCCACCCCTCTAACTTCCCTCTCCTCTATCATACAGTATGTAGGCTACAACACTACACACGTTCTCTCTCTCTGTCACACCTGGCTCTGGAAGAAAAAAAAGACAGCAGTCATGGACCGCCCAAACAATCAGCATTGTCCACCGGTGGGACAGAAACTATTTATAGGAGGGAGCAGCAGCTCTAGGCAGGCGGAAGTTTCTCTCCACCTGTCAGAGTGCTGAGTGACTGGGCCTGGTGCTCCTGGGCTGCAGACTGGAGAGTCCAGCTTGCAGG